GAAGTCTGTGAGGATACAAAGCCCTGTATGGCCCCCTACCCCCCACCAGTGCGTTAGTATCAATATAAGAATATTTAAGGTGAACTGTGTTAAAGGGACTAGTGTCTGCTTCTCCACATTTAAGAAAAACATAAATCCAAAGTATTTAAATTTCATCTTAGAGGCGTAATTCTCAAATCACAAGCAGGACTGAGAAGAACAGCATTTCTGCCATCCTTTCCCAAAAGCATTAATGAAATACCAGTCTCCAGATCTGACATACCAGAACGTCGAGTAAAGGAAGAACTCATCCAGATTCTATTATTTGGAATATGCAAAATATTACTTCTGGAATGACCTCTTGAAATGGTAATTATATGTAGGTGGTTCAGATATTACCCAGAATTTTTATCACAGCATTGTCAATAAGGCACCTCAGTCACTTTTCATCATGCAGTCTTCTTGACGTACTCTACCCTTTCATGTATACGGTTGTTCCATCCCTTGGAATTACAGTGCGAAACAGATGCTGAGCTAGATCATTGGAATTATGGGTCAGATTTTAACCATCGTCGTATTGTGGTCATAAGCGGTTCCTTTAGGAATTGGCTGGATTTATATTGACATTTTATGAAGGTCAAATGCTGGGTACTGTATACCGTGTCTGGGTAATTTAATGTCTAGTTTGAAAGATAATTCAATTTTGTATCATACACTTGGATTTACAATGCTTGTTGCACAAATTTGTAATAAAAATATTGTTGTTGTTGTCCATTGCAGAAGGTTATAAATAAATACAAACCAAAAAACAAAATATGTTACCAATTTTTAAGATTCTGAACTGACACGAAAGCTATGGAAATGTTAAAATATGTTGTTGTTTATGTTTATCAATGGCGCCAATGCCATTTATGTGTTTGCTCTACTTCAAGAGTGGTAACTTTTCGTAAACATGATGTGAAATCAAGATCAGTGTTTTTCAAACTGCAGGTTAGGAAGGGTGAAAAACATATTCTAGTGAAAAAATAATTCTTTAAGAATTTTTTGAAAAATTAATAAAATGCTAAAACCTATGGATACATTAGTTTCATAACTGGTGTAAGATATTCAGATAAATTCCAATATATCCTCACTTTCAAAGTAAATGCTGTTGTTTATTTAGCGTGACCCTTCTAGCCAGATCGGGGCATTCGTAACTCCTTCGCCCATAAATAAATGTGCCATTATACAAAATTACACGACTCGGAAACTGGTAAATTCACATGGGGGCCTCTACACAGAAGGGCACTGTCAATCCAGGAAATATTACAATTGAAACATGATGCAAAGTTGAGAATTAACTTTCACTTTAAAAAGTCATTGAGCTCGACTACACAGATAAATGTTGTAAATTCCATAAGACGCCTTAAAATACCTGTATCGTTGTAATGACTTCCTTTCGGGAAAATGTTTCTTGCACCCTTTCGACTTTAACTGAGATATCCATAATATATCAGTACAAGATACTGACATAACCTTCACGTGCCAAACACTGAACTCGGTAAATATAAAAAGGAGTTTACTGCACTGTAATTAAGTTATTCAACAATCTTCCCTCCTCTATAAAAAGTGTGAATCACGATGTATAGAAGTTTAGGCCAACACTAAAAGAGTATCTCCTGTATCGCTCCTTCTACTCCATAGAAGAATTTTACCTCAACCAAATTTTTTTTTGCTGTAATACTGTAGTTGACTGTAAATTACTGCCATAATTATGTAATTTATATTTGTATTAGAAACAATTATTGTGTTTTGTGCCATGACACGTTCTACATCCTTGGCTTAGTCCTGTGAAGGATCTACGGAATGTGAATAAATTATATTTTAACCATGGCCATTTGCGTGGCGGGTTGGTATCTACAGGCGGATAGCGTCTTTCTTACTTCGCATGCTAGACTGAAAATGTAATTGCATTTCCTGATTATCCTGTGCCGGATAAAACGACATTACTGTGTTTCGTATAATAAAACATTTCCGGTACAAAGAAAGTGCACTCAGTTGCTCGAATTTTCGATCGACCTGTATCATGGTCATGCCTTCCTTTCTCTGATTTCCTTGTTATGTTTATGCGGGCAGTGGTTTCAGTGTTTATCATTGCTATGCTTTGCACGCGAAAGCGGCTCAAGGGTAATCAGCAAAACGAAGGTATGCTTATCACCAATACCACGTCACTCTGGTAAAAATCTCCCGAAGACATTTTTGTTTGTGTTACAGTGAGGTTTTTTATAAAATTCCTGCAGCTACATTTTAACTGATTTCAACATTCGTTTTAAGAACTACTACATTAAATGACGAGTATAATTTTATATGTACATCGGATAGATTGTGGTTGAGATCCTAGGTTTTGGTGGTAGCAAGTATAAAGTCGTTTTCTAGAATGTTATGCCACGTAGTCTGATAGAACTTTACCAGCATTTCAAAGGTACATTCTGCCTTCATCATCATCCATCATACCTGACTATGACCTCTGCAACGTTGGTAAACTTCTGTCAGACTACGTGGCGTAACACTCCAGAAGTTAGTCATATTTTTAAGTTTTGTTTGCTATTTTTTTCTAAAATGAATCTCTTTTGTGTTTTAAAGATTTATCTTTTATGAAGCGTTACATTTGAAACCCTCTCCCTAGACATCCTAGTTACACCTATTTATACAAAAAAAATCCTTTTTCCAAATCCTAATGTCTGTCATTGCCACCACGAAACATACAAAAACTGTCCATGAAACTACAGAAACAATGCAATATCCCATTTATCATTGGACTGACTTCAAAATTAAGCACTTAAGTCACTTATGCACATCAGACTTTGATAAGTGCAAAAGTGAAGGTTTGAAAGCTCACGTGTGCATGAATATAAAGCTGGGCGTACTCTCATTTGAAAGTATTTCTGATCTTGACACTGCAACCGGGTGCAGAATCTAAAGTCTTCTTTCTCCGTTCGTTTTGTTGCACTCGTTACTGACTGCATGGGATTGAATATTATGAGGACCTGTTTCAAGGTGATACTGAATACTAACTAGGAAATACAGAATAGTTCTCTACAATGACTTGTTCATAATAAACTGACAACCGCTGAGAAACTACACAGACAGTCTTCAATATGGCATAATGATAATGGCAAGCATGGTACAAGTCAGTGTAACTTCAAGATGGAGTTTCACGCATTTATTTATGTTTTTTCTGTGGATGTGTGCCTTTTTACATGGAGGTAATGCACTTGTCCCTGTGGCTACAGCACAGAAGGGCTTTGTACCAAGTTTCGCTTGGTTTGATGGAACCCCCAATACGACAGCAGTTCAAGAGAAACCGCAGTAAGTAGAGAAGAGTTTTTGCAACACGAAGTAGCTTAAGGAGACGGTGATTTCACAATTCTCTTATCGTAAAGAGTGTTCAGAAATTCCTGCGCTGTAGATAAATAGATATTTACATTCTTTTCCTTAGACACGCCATTTTGCATTTAACATTTTGTCAACAATAAACCATTGTCACAAATCCATTCTACCAACCTATACAAAAATAATCATATTGCCTTCTCCGTATGATGTAGACTTGTAACTGTGTCAAAGATGTACATCTGTTTTTGAAATCAGGATGCGCTGTAGAGTGCAGCCGGTTGCGAACATGTCTCTTAAAATAATAATTCAGTTTATGCTTCCAAGGAAATGCGCCGTAACATAAGTACAAAGTTCAGCCTTTTCTTAACATTTGGGAAGATTTTCTCTATTCCTCATAAGAACCAAATGAACTCTGTGGGTGACGTGCGAAGTTACTGAACATTAATACGCATGGTGTACGTAGTTGCCACTACGTCATAAAAGTTTAAACACAATGTCAGCATTTAAGGCAGTACATAAACAAATTTTTGACTTTCAGGCATCAGCAGCAAAAAGAGAGTATTAATGTAGCATATCAAAATCATTACTTACAACATCTGAGCCCCCAGCTGTCCTCGACAAGTCCGTGGGCACCGTCGACATCATCGCCACCGCCACATTACTCAGTTGCTGTGAGCATGCAGCGGCCTGATCTCTTGATTCTGCTGTGCCAAGTGCAGGAACCACTGGAGGTGAATAAAATTTACAGAGTTAGTTTTTTAGAGTCGACAGAGATGGACGACATAGCGTTGCCTACTAGTTCACTGTGTTTCCTGAGACCCAAACCAAGATACGTGCAGCTGATTATTTATATTTCCACAGATATTGAATTACCAGGATTTAGAATTGCTGTTCATTCATTCTAATGTGTACGCAGTCATTTTCCACTGAAGACGTAAAAGTGAGACTCAGTGACTTTCTCTTGTCACTAACAGAAAGTTAAGTGTTCTGTGCTGTTTATTTGAAAATTCTCTGGCATTTTTCTCTTCTTAGCGTCTTTCCAAAAGTTGGCTTTGGCGTGCCATCATGCAGCTGCACACCAAATGTTGAATGCTCTGCTGCAGTTTTAACCTTCTATGCCAACACACATTTATTCTTTCCTTCTAATTTCTTTTCTGTTTTCATAATTGTACTTTTAGCCACTCTCCAAATTCTTCTTCTGTATGCAACCACCTAACTTGGCTGTTGCTTAAAGTGCAATTGCTTATCCCACAAATTATGTACAGTTGCTTTCCATTGCTATTTTTTTCAGCATATCTCATGGTTGTGGTACCCATGTCCTAACCGCGATTCATCCGATGATGGAATCCTAATAGCTGATGGTACAACAGTTTCCAATGCTTCATTATATGCGGTCAGAATAATAGGAGAGAATGGTGTATTCATCTCAGAACTCCACATTCTTCAGAATCCATTACAGCCAGGTATCGCCGGGCTCTACCGCTGTGAAGCTTGGCCCCATGGTGCTGGTAAAGACAGTGCTAATTATCAGGCCAGCTCAACATACCATGATGAATTCGTAATTGGTGGTCACTTCATGATAAATAGTTGTTTCTATGATCCTCACAAACACAAATATTATCATCAACATTACGGACCAAGTACTTATAACCACAAGTTGCAAAAAAGCTACCGAACTCCTAGAACAGAAGGAGCTAACGATGTTACCGCAAACATTATAGATGGTCGCAGTGAAGTGAACAGATCACAGATGACTAGAAATAAATTAACTGATGTGTTATGAGAAATCGTATCATAGACAGTGACAGAGTATAATTTGCAGAAAATAGGAAGATGATCGTCTGCGCAGTTAAAACATACAAATATGAAAAATAATTACAACATATAAAATGTATAATCATCTTTATCACCATCATCATCAGTATATATCAGGCTAAAGGTCAGTTATGTTTGCATTCTGTGATAATAATATACGTTTTGTTTAAAAATGAGTTACATTTATTTAATGAATTTATACAGGAAAATGGAAAGAATGTGGATTTTCTCAAAAGTAAACATGTTTGTCACATTATGACAGATGATGATGATGATGATAAGGGCCTTCCCTCCCACTCACACACACACATAATGTAACCTTGAACTGTTAACATCAAGGTTAAGTTGCTTGTGGAGGACACAAGTAATGTTCCACGTAAACTAATATGTTCTAGATTATCATCATTGGATTGATGTTACTACCCTATGACCTAACTGTAATGAGAAATCTTTTATATTAACAGGAAAATGAAAATGTTTGTCATGGTAAATCTTAAATGTGTACATTGTACAAAGTACAAAAATTAAACCATTTTGTCTGTCTGTCTACATTTGCCTTCTGGGATGTGATGCAGTGTGGACTTAAAAGGTGGTACCTACATTTCAGCCTGAAGATGGAGGCAGTATGTTCTCCAAAATGTTGAGTATCCACATACAGCACCACAACCCAGAAGACCACCATAGACATGTTCCCATTTCCTTTGAAGAACTGAAAAGCCTGTAATATGCTCTTAATTCTATCCTGAATGCAATTTTGATTTGTTAATATTGTTCCCAATACTAAATTATGCCACATTCTCAAAAGATCTTTTAGCCATTTTTCACACTGTGCTGCAGGGCTCTCAAGTGATTTCGGACTAATTGTCCAATTGTTTTTTTGTTATCAGCACAGAAATTATCAGATTACAGAAGCAATTCACAAATGTCAAAAGATCCACATAGCATTATATCTTACTCATACATACCTACAACAATTCCGAAACGAAAATTAACTTGCTGGCGACAGACCCTTGTTACAAAAATTGGCAGCACATCCTCTGGCCATTTTTATACACTTCTGTCATGTAGTCTGGTCACGAAACGTGAATGTGGCCTATTTATAGTATTCTCCCCGCACTAGCATCTAATAGACTGTATGTTCTTTCATTTATGATATGTGTACCCGGTGTGATAATGCAAGTGTCACAATAAAAAAAGTACGAGTTATAATATTTCAAATCCGCGCCCATTTTGTGTTAACTGTGACGTCTCACGCCGTTCAATTTTTTGGTTTTCGATCACTGTTGCCAACGTGTGATCCACTTTAGCTACTAGATCAAAATTAAAGATTTCCATTTGGTGAAATTTTATATCAATTTTAAATTCACTTTGAACCAACATAATGCTCACCTCTGATGCATTTGGAGTTTTGTATTAAATTTGACTGTAAATTAAACAAGTTTCTTGCATAACCAATTTCGCTTTCTTGAAACCTGACAACTATGAACATATTTAAGGAGTATCGATTGTTGATCATTAAACATAAATAGAGAGGGAAATGCCTATTAAGAAGTTTGTGTATTTTCTAATATATTCCTATAAACTGTACGAAGAGTTACAACTCTTTTAAAGGAATGTAGTACGAAGATTTCTGTCTTCTGGGTTGTTGGACTGTGTAGTCTGGTCGATGTTTACCAACGTTTCAGAGGTCATACTGCCACCATCAGGACGATGATTATGCCAATTGAGTGGGTGGAGCTAAGTTTATAGGAGCCGGACCGTGAATATGGTACGCTCTATAATGTAAAGGGACATACCATGGCCTATATTTGTTTAAATAAAATAGCTATTTGGTCATATTTGCGTTCAAGCTTCCCTCATAATTTTAGCCAATAGGAAGTAGCCAGTTGGACAACCTGCAACCACTCTTTTAATTTTGATTGGATATCCAGAATGTTGTGCACTCTGTTTATTGGGTAGAGTTCATACGCGTGGTGGAGTGCTATTGGTTCGTGGCATATGTAATACGTAAGTTGCTGCTTGCAGAATCATTTGTCAGAGGTTATTGCTTCAGATAAAATTATTGAAGAGCAGTATTCATTAAACTGTGGAGTAGTGTAGTACAAAAATGAGAGTTTTTCTGTTTTGTGTGCTTGGTATCCTCTTGATAGCAGGTAAGATGTTCACATGGATTTATTTCAGAATTATGTGTTTCCTTCCAGTGCGAACATGCGATCGACGAGCCGGTTTCCTAACCTCGAATTTATTATGATTTTGTATAGTATAATTAATTTCTCTCTTTTCCACAGTAGAATTGTTTTCACTTGTTTAGTTTATTTAGTGCACGTTATAATGTTACTTCACTCTTTCTAAATTGTATCACGTTATTTCATTTGACAATAACAGACGCAAATAAAGACGTGTGTTATGTAGCATAATCTGCATCTTAATGTTTTATTTCATAGGATTTTCACGTGCAGATGATGATGCTGCAGAGTCAGCGACAGAAACTGTGGACGTTGACATTGGATCAAGTAGAGAAGGATCTAGAACTGGTAAACCCTTTGTTTCATTTAACACAATTTTATTGCATCCTGTTTACTAAAGGCATAAAAATACCTTGCAAAATAAAAGTAGTTTGGGAAATAGTGGAAAAAAGGAAACTTAAATATTCAACACAATGAGTGACTCGATTAATACAGATACATGTTCATTCTTTTTATAATTTAAAGTATTGAAATTATTTGCTATGAGTTTAGGAGAATGCGGTCTTCTGGATTGCTGCGCAGTTTAGTCTGGTAGAAGTTTATCGACGTTTCAGATGTCCTTACTGCCTCCAACATCAGGGCAATGAGTCATGACAGCCATCTTCGCTGTGAAAACCACAAATCCTACAAATTCTATAACATTCTGTAGAATGCAGGATTGTGTATTTATGGCTGCATATAATTTCATGGTTACACCTGATTGCAGATGATGAAGTGGTGAAAAGGGAGGAAGAAGCCATAAAACTTGATGGACTGAATGTGGCACAAATAAAAGAGCTACGGGATAAAGCAGAGAAGTTTGCATTCCAGGCTGAAGTAAACCGGATGATGAAACTGATTATTAACTCTTTATATCGTAACAAAGAGGTAAGTTCCCAAGAAGCATTGGTATTTTTACTGTGTAAATACCCTAATGGAACGCCTGCTATGCCCACAGATAGTATTTTGATACCACGTTAACTTTGATATCTTTGTCGGCATTTAACGAATTTCACGCGGGATATCGGTTATAAACCATAACTTTGCCTTATATTTTTAAGACAGCATTAACCAATCGATCCTTGTAATGAAACACCATTATGTTTTCTTTGAGGTAAGAACTGAATTTTTAAATGTTATGTGGACATATTTTGCCAAATGCAAATAGCGTGTCATCAAGTAAAATTAGAGTAAAATATGCTGTTATATTCTTCCTGAATAGGGCCTAATAGAGGTTATATAGTACAATCTCTTCATTTCAGATCTACCTCAGGGAGCTTATATCAAATGCTTCAGATGCACTGGACAAGATTCGTATCCTGTCACTTACTGATAAATCAGTTCTGGATGCCACAGATGAATTGTCTATCAAAATAAAGGTAATTTCTAGTGTCTAGGGTGAAACTCTTTTTTGCTGTACTAAAATTGTTAAATTGCTTATTTATTATGACATTTTTATAAATATGTTTGTGTTTGCTGTTCTGTTACTTATCCCTATGGTTTTGCTTAATGATCACTCTATGCACCAAGCTCGTTGAATTGAAGTGAGGACAGATTTCCAAAAGAGAAAATAGCATCTTTGTATCTTGAAACATCTTTTTTTTTGCAAACTGAAGCTCCATCTGCTGTGGTCAGTTGTGGCTGTCAGGTTGCCGAAAGAATGAATTGTACGTATTGCCGCTTTATAGCATCTGGGATCAACGCGCGGATGGATGACATTGTGAAGTAATCGTGTTCCATTTGGTCGAATGTCTTGTTCCAGGCCGATAAAGATAATCACATACTGCATATCATTGACACTGGAATTGGAATGACCAAATCTGATCTGGTGAATAATTTGGGAACGATCGCAAAATCCGGAACGGCAGATTTCTTAAGTAAGGTGCAGGACGCGGCAACGTCGGCTCAAGATATGAACGACTTGATCGGACAGTTTGGCGTTGGATTTTACTCTTCGTTCTTAGGTAAGGCGTTTGATGTGATGAACATGTGATGGTGTATGTCTGAAGCATCTCGTTGAAATCTGTACCCTCATTTAATTTTCTGCCACATATCCAGATAAATAATCCCAGTGACTTGTTTTCTTCTTACAAGAAAGTTCTCTACGAGTTTAATATTTATTTTCCCGTGGCAGATTAAACCTCACTTTACCACAACACCAGAGTTTTGCCATTGATCATTTACTGTTAAAAGCGCTTATGACATGTAACTTATATTTGTTCGATACAATACATCTTCATTGCGTCTTAGGACTCATCTGACATGAAAGCGCTTGATTATCGCGTGGTTTCATCGTGGATGTCAGCATTTCACAAAGTAAATAATGTCAATATTGGGTGGGAAGGTGGATGGGTTTTGAAGCTGATCTGAACGGTTTGTGAAGCAACAAACTCTGACCTGTTCTGTGAGTCGGCATCTAGTCATGCAGTCACTACAGTGATGGGTATCACGGGTCATAAGCGGGTATTGAACACGAGTAAATATTGTAATTTAATCCTGGGTAGGTGTCGTAATGGCCGCTGATGTATTTTTTGTAAGCGTAGCATTGTCTGATATGTTTTGCGTAGTTGCCGATCGCGTGGTTGTGACTACAAAGCACAATGATGACAAGCAATATATATGGGAATCGGACTCGTCCGGCTTCAGTATCGTCGAGGATCCGCGCGGAGACACGCTGAAACGAGGCACCGAAATCAGGTATGCTTGGAACAAACTTAATTAATTTCACTTTGGTTATGTTCTCTCACCTCCGTTCTGCGAAATACTAAAATTTATGCGTCTGTGAATTTGGTTGTCTCTAATTATAAGCATGTCGTCATGGTGATGTTAAGTTGTTTTAAAGTTGCTGCTTAAGAGTTTAAGAGACAACATGAAATTATGTGAATTCTTACCTCGGCTGTGGAAAGTTTTGTATTCTTTGAACCTTGACCTTAGATTCTGTTGACATGGCTGCATATGAATGTGAAGAATGAAAATAAATTAGTGACCTCCTAAGCTTTAATTTGAATCTGTATTAATTTAGATGTTTGTGTCTGTAATTTCTGAGCTGATAGAAATACGTGCCTATCACCTTCACCGTGTCGGTCGATCTGTCCACGTGTAACAACTTCAGAACTGCTAAACTGATTTTCATTTTGATATTTTGGAGTTTTACTAACACTTGTTGACACATTCAAATTTTGACAATTGCGGACACTTCACATATGGACCTACATGCTTTCCTTTGTGTTCCTGGAGGTAGACTCAGTACCTGTCAAGGTGAAAAATGCCCTGAAAAAAGTTCGGGAAAGTGAAACACATTTAATGCTTAGTAAACTTTTTTCTGAAGTCTTGCAGATTTCCAGATAATTAAATAAAAGTGACTCGTGCTGCTTCACCTGGTAACTTTAGAACTGTTGCGCAGATTTTGATGAAATTTTATATTGGAGGTTGTAGCTCACCCACCCGACATGTTTTTCACTATTTATAGAGAGCGTAAGATGTTTGTATTGAACTGAAAATGTAGAACCATTCGTAGGAAACTCATCAGATTAGTTATGCATTTTCTAACTTGCTTTAGTTTTAATTTTACTGAATTGTGTTTCAGTCTTCATCTGAAGGAAGAGGCGTATGATTTCGTGGAAACTGATACGCTGAAGAATCTTGTTATGAAGTACTCCCAGTTCATTAATTTCCCCATTTATCTCTGGAACAGCAAGGTATAATTCAGAACATATAATATATCATTACATTGTCGCCATGTCAGTACCCCGTAGCTCGTCGGACAGCCGCGTGATTTGCGATGATTTTCGGTAAAGATAAAGAACCCTGAGTTTAAACTCCGCAAAATGTTCATGCTTCATTTGAAGGAATATCGTATTTGGCTTTTCATGTCGATTCAAGCAAAACATAATTTTTAAGTTTATTTAAAATATCCCCAGATACAAAAACAGTTCAGGTGAAATTCAGTGAAATTAGTGAAATGCATTTCTTATTTTACGTACATCTATTGATCACATAATTTTTTTTTATATGATACTTCAAAATTCTAGATATTTTTAGTGGTAAGTCCGCCTTATGAGGTTTGCACATTTTTTTTAGAGAATGTGTGCATTTCATAGGCTGCTAATTAATAATGTAAGATTCCAATGTCCTAGCCATTGAACTAATACAGTAAGTGGATCAGAATATTACACAGTGGACGGCCCCCAGTGGGCTTATCCTCGTAGCCCTCCAGAAAAATTGCTGTCACCCTGAAATTTAAATACAATGCAGTCAGCAAAGCTGTAGTTTGCGGTACTGTTGTAAAAATGCTGCATTTTGCAGACCGTAAAGGTAGAAGAGCCTGTCGAAGATGATGATGAAGCGGACACCAAGGATGAAACAGAATTGAGGGCTGATGAAACAGATGAAGAAGATGATGATACCAAAGTTGAGGACGATAAACAGGAAGAAAAATCGAAGACCAAGACAGTAGAGAAAACTGTGTGGGACTGGGAGGTTCTGAATGACAGCAAACCGATATGGACGAGGAAGTAAGTTTTTTATTTTTTTAAGAAATGCTTGATTCAGGCATGACGTAATTGCTTTTCAACACCTTTGTGGATCCATAACTAACTCCGTGGAACAAAATCCTCGTTCAGAAGCTCATAGTTGCTCAGCTAGTCAGAAATTCCGTGTCTTTTATGGAATACAAATGTAAGAGGCTGTTGCTGTTCTCTGTCGTAAGGCGGTTGAATCAAATCCCTGTTTTTTTTACCATTTCTGAATCTCTTGACAAATCCCTGTTTTTTTTACCATTTCTGGATCTGTTGCTTTTAAAGTATTCCTGGGAGGATTTTATTTAAAATATTAATTTCTCAGTCATTCTTTGCCTATTAGTAGAATCAACTTATGTAAATTACCAAGTGTCATTGGGTTCACATGAATGTTATTGAGAGAGAGAGGCGTGCAGGACATTCGAAGGAAATGGGAAATGTGTACAGAATTTTGGTTGTCAAGCCTCAAGCAGTTGTTGGACCTGCAGAATGTTACCAACGAGGTGCTCGCCGATTCCTGGCGAGAGACTTCTTCAAGTATTGAGATGTGTCGAGCTTACGAGAAGCTTTGTGAGATCACTGTTTGAAAATGTGTCAATTTCTTTAATTCGCTTAGTGACTGTATTTGTTGTTATTTAGGGCTGAACACTCTGTATTAGACATGCTTTTATGATTTTATGTACATAATTGTAAATGTATTTACTCAGTTTAAGGATGTTATAAATATACTAGGGCTTGTTTACTTCTCAGACTCTTGGCGTTAATTCCCTCAACAGCAGATGCTGGGTTTTGGTTACATTTGTAATAAGAAGAAGAGACATTGATAGATTTATAAAAGAAAACATTTGAGTAAAATTCATCCTATTTTGGTATTGTAAACATAGTATAATTTTAATCTTTGCAGGCCAAGTGAAATTAGTGATGATGAATACAATGAATTCTACAAGTCGCTGACAAAGGATCGTAATGGTCCGTTAACTAAAGTTCATTTTGTCGCTGAAGGAGAGGTGACTTTTAAATCCGTGCTGTTTGTACCGCAGAACCAGCCAGGCGAGACTTTCAACAAATATGGCAGTAAAACTGACAACATTAAGGTAACGTCTTACAATTTTGGGTGGGGGGGGATGATTTACGTATTTGACTGACTGCATATAACTGACGAAGGACGTGTAATACAGAATGTATGGTAAGATATTAAACGCAACTTTAATTAATTGTTTATTAGCTATTAGTGATGTCACATTTTACAACTGAACCTTTCAGTCTTGCAGCTTTTATGAATCATGCAATTTACGGAATGACGGAGAATGGCGATAGATACGAAGAACTTGTGTTATCCTGAAACTGTATGCAACGAGACCTTCCCACAGATTCTTAGGTTTTTCGCAAAGTTCTGTACAAGTTACTTATTTTTAATTGCATCTTCGTGCATTACGGTTTAATAAACTTTGGTTTCATCTCTTCTGCATTTCAGCTGTATGTGCGACGTGTGTTCATCACAGACGAGTTCAACGACATGATGCCCAACTATCTCAGCTTTATACAAGGAGTAGTGGATTCTGACGATCTTCCTCTGAATGTTTCTCGTGAGACACTGCAACAGCACAAGCTCATTAAGGTTCGTTCATTCTGCGTTTATGCTGTCATAATAGACCAGTATTTTAATACTACTGTAAATGAAACTGATTGATTAATGATTGTTTATGCAGTGTGTGTTTTAAATGATTATAGGTCATCAAGAAGAAACTGGTACGCAAAGCCCTCGACATGTTCAAAAAGATGGAAAAGGCAGATTATGAAAAGTTCTGGAAGGAGTACTCGACTAATATCAAACTGGGAGTGATCGAGGATCCGTCAAATAGAACGCGTCTGGCCAAACTCCTTATGTTCCAGTCATCAAATCAGTCTGGCTTGACTGGTCTGTCAGATTATGTCTCGAGAATGAAGGATAAGCAGGATTACATTTACTACATTGCTGGATCAAACAGGAAAGAGGTTGGCATCACGTCTTGTAATTACGTAGGAATGAGTTGGACCTGGATTTAAAACTTTAATCATATGAAAATTGTTTGAAAGGAAGGTATGCAAGGACGCCGTACATTACCGCAGAGATTTAACTGCTTGTATGCGTGTGGATGTCATAACATTATTTTTCTTGAGGCACTCGCCCCATTGGGGAAACCAGTGCATTGAAGCTCTATTCAAAGAAATCCTTGTCGTTCAGCTGTAAGAAGGTTATCGCCACTAATAACACGTCATTGACAAGCTGCTGTCGTGGTAAGCGGGAAATGTCGGAGGGTATAGGTTGGATTCGTCTGGTTCCGAGACGGACTGGCGATGCCTTCGATCTGTGAAGTAAGTTACATTTTTATTTTACAGGTTGAGAACTCTCCGTTTGTGGAGCGACTGCTAAAGAGAGGTTACGAGGTGTTGTATTTGACGGAAGCAGTGGACGAATACTGTATCTCTGCTCTTCCCGAGTTTGACGGAAAGAAATTCCAGAACGTTGCCAAGGAAGGTTTTACTCTTGCAGATGGAGGCAAGGCTAAGGAGAAGTTTGAGAACTTAAAGAAACAATATGAACCACTCACCACGTGGCTCAATGACGAAGCTCTCAAAGATCAAGTGAGTCTCAGGGTCTGCTGAATTCTTACAATATAAAGTGAATTATTAGCAGGAGAGACTGTGAGGAATTTAAAATCTGCATTTACTGTTCATCTGAAACTCGATACGTAATAACAGTGTCCGTCGCGCGTGTTTTCAGATTTCGAAGGCAACTTTGTCGGAAAGGCTGTCAGATTCGCCCTGCGCTCTAATAGCGGGCATGTTCGGGTGGACTGGCAACATGGAAAGACTAGCAATTTCCAACGCTCACCAGAAATCTGATGACCCACAGAGAAGTTACTATCTTAATCAGAAGAAAACTCTCGAGATTAATCCAAGACATCCTCTCATTAAGGAACTTCTCAGACGGGTGGAGGACGATACTAGCGATCCCACTGCAAAGGATATAGCACTTATGATGTTTAGAACAGGTACGAATTATTGATGCGGGTCTTTCCGAGGATGAGACACGTCATTTCAAACGCTGTCTTGAGCCTCGAATGTGCGTGATATTTAAATGGCGGTGAGATAAGATGAAACTGTTTATTACATTCTAAAAACTGTGTCTCACAATAAAGGCAGAACATTTAGGGTTCTTTGTTTGTCGGGAAGGACTCGGTTTCACTCTTACACTTGCGAGAGTGTGGCGAGTCTTCTCTCCGTTCAACCTTTACTGTGTGGGAGCGCGGTTTTTAATGCCCGCATTACAGAGCTGGCAGCGACATTTCAACTGGGATTTGACTAGTAATGTTATCAGCATTGACGAAATGTTTATATTTACAAACCTGTTGCTGTTAAAATAATGTGGAAACTTCTTTAACGGAAGTATACTGCTTAGTTTGTTTGTTAGTACAAAGCAGATTTTTCTGAAACGTGTTTTGGATTTGGATTTGTTTTCAGCCACTTTACGGTCAGGCTACATGCTGAAGGATACGGCAGATTTTGCGGAGAGCGTGGAACACATGATGAAGAAAACTTTAGGCATTTCCTTGGCAGAACAAGTATGTCGAGACACATTTATTTATTTTTTTATCGGAATTTATAATCTGGGAAATCCTTTATGGCAGTGTCACTGTGTGGAATGTTTCATTAAAGTAGAATCCCAGAGTGAAAGACGTTCAGAATTCCTATAACATCCATTAAGAAGGTAGAATACCAAACGACGTACAATTGGCTAGGCGGGATGTAACATACTGGATGGTTTTCAGGTCATTGTCCGTGGGTTTGGTCGGCAAATAGTAGAAACAGAGACGGGCTTGCTTGTTGGATAAACGCCAAGTGGAAAGAAAGTTCTGAATGTCGAGTCGTCACGCGCTCGGCGCGCGTGTACTTACAGATAATTAGTGAGGAATATTTAACGTGCATTTTGAAGCTCCAAAGTCCAAAGAAGCAACTTTAAGTGTTATTTAAGTTCACGGTCATGTGACACCTGTGTAATACGATGTAAGAATTAGGAGAACACTCGGATGTGGCATTCTGAAAACTGCTTTGACATGGGAATTTTTTAACGCAACGTGGAGTAAGGTAAAAATCCGTATCAGAAATTACTGTGATGAGTTGTTTTCATCGGTACTGTTACGGGAAATGTGAGAAGCACTTCAAAACGGTTACTGAAATTTTTGTTAAAATTCTGCTGTAGAAATACTATCGTATGCACAGATATGTAGCGGAATCTACAGATGTTTCGCTCGAGAGCTTGATTTCAGGACCGAACTAGCAGAATCTTAAATTGAGGGAATTTAACCCAGAAAATTGGGAGATATCTTAAAAATTGAACAGTTAGTGACGAAATCCCTTAAATAAGAGAGCAGGATTTTGCTGCAAGATTTTGAAAGTTAGATGCTTCTCAGATTTTTTGTAAATGTTAATCTGGATGATCACTCGTCCAATGAGTCCTACCGAATGTCTAATAGATTAAGTATAGAGAAACCTTGACACACGCGGGTAGAAGAAGATTATGACTAAGAAAGGAGAGAGAGTTATTGCAAGTTCGATAAGTACATACATTTATGTATTTTATATTTCACATTGATTTTTTTGTTTTTTATAGCCCGAGGAGGAGGAGCAGGAAGTAGAAGAAGAGGAGACTAAGCCAGAAGATGATGACGTCGATGCAGAAAAAGACGATGATGATGACGACGACGACGATTTTGCGGCCCATGAAGAACTGTAAGATGTAGAGGGCAATCAGTAAGTTCTGAAATACTGTGTTGCGCTAATAGAACAATCAGAAGACTTGTGTTATTGTGATATGGCCATATACACGTTACCTCTGAGTTCCAGCGGAACAGAATGAACGTGAAGTGCATTTTATACAGGACATTGACGTGAATTAAATGTCAGTTTGTCAAGGCGTACGTCTGGAATCTGAAACTGAGAATTGACAATATGGGGTCCGCTGCATATGTTTTTATAGTCCGTGAACAAACTGCAGTACAGTACGTCTCACTTAAGTTGCGTCTGCTTCTTTTGTTGAGAAACGTTCCGTCTAGTTTCATCTGTCTTAACTATAAATCGCCAAAACATGAAGTGAATTTGCAGTTTTTTGAATTAATGTTTGTGTAGAGTTGGGAGTTGATTATCACGATTTAATCTTTCGGAGAATGCGCAGTTGCCAAAATTGCTGCTGTTTTCAGTTGTTAAATGTTTGAAATTTCTCATGCTAATAATAGTTGTTCACAATTCATAACAAAGCTGTTTTCATTTGATGTTACTCGGTCGTCGGCAGAAGCAGGAACAAGAAAGAGGTTACTTTGCATTAGGCTTTTGTTTCTTCATTTCTGTGAAGCCTGGGTCAAAGGTAATCAGAGGTAATAAAGTTGTAGTCAATATTTATAGTATATTTCCAACACATTTAACGTAAATGAAAATGAAACGAAATACCGTACCTACATAATGACGTCACTGGAAGGACGTCAACACTTGTGTACTTTATTTATGAATAAGACGATGCTGATTAATTCCCTGCGTCTGTTCGTTGCCAAATACGGACAATGCAAGTTAGGAAATTTTGTCTTCACGTGACATTTATTTTTTTCTGCATGTGTACCTATTTTTCGTCTCGGTCTGGGACAAGCAAATTTGAACAATTCTGTTGATAAGTCTGAATGAAGAATGGCGTGTTTAACGGAGCATAAGTTTGCTACATTAACAAGTGCGAGTCTGACTCTTAATTTGTGAGGGTTGTTCTGAATGTCATTAAAATGTGAATAAATTTCTTTTTCCAATTTAAAATTGATTCTTATCGTCTTACATCACATACTTCCACACTACGCGCTATCCACTAAAGGACGTCACCAAGGAAATTGTAGGAGTGACGTTTTAAGCGCAATAAGAGTGTCTGTGTCCTCGCAGTTCCACCAACAACTGCCGTGTCTGAAAGGATTTTGTCGGAATTTGTGAAAGACGGACCCTCTCGATGACGACGTTCAGGGGTTTCAGTGGTCTAGAGATGTAACCTGTAGCTGAAGTATAAAGGAAATGAGAATAACGCCTGCAATTACCAAATCATCTCTTGAGGTTTTGAATTCTGTTCATAATATACGAGGCTTTCTTCAGAAACAGTCTCATGCAAGTGCATTGCGTATTATGTATATAAGTAACCGAATTAATGACGCAGGTGTCTCTTGCGTGTTAGATTGTGCCTGGTGGCGGTATTTTCGACACGCACTGACAGGTGATGTGTGGCACGCTGGCCACAGTCTCAGGTCAAATGTGCTCTGAACTTCAGAGGCTCGTACTTTACATATTTTATTGAAATATTACATTAGTAGTAGCTCAGTCAGTATAGTGACTAGCTACGGGCTGGATGACCGGGGTTCGATCCCCGACGGGCAGAGGATCTTTCCTCTAGCCTCTGCGTCCAGACCGGCTGCGGGGCCCACCCAGCCTCCTATCCAGCGGGTCCTTTCCAGGTGAGTAAAGCGCGGCCGGAATGTGACGCTGACCTCTCATCCGCATCAAGTTCTGAGGTTAAGAATGAGTAGGAGCTCTGCCACCTCCTGCCCAAGTGCCTATGTGGTGTGTAGCGCGACAGCTTTACTCTTGCAGATGCAGGCAAGTTTCATTTATTGCCCCAGGCCTAATTATTCAAGCAATAAACACGAGTAAATGTTTGCCAGACGCTGTATTTGTGAGAAAAGTAAACAAATTTGTACTTGTGATCTTTACATCGCATGAAGTGTCCTTAATATCGAATCGGCCATTTGCAAAGCCACATGAGTCTACAAAACTCACTTTTGGGAAAACTAAAGAAGAGCATGTAGCAAACACACTGTTTATGGTATGTACGATTTATTTTCCTTCAAAAATTATTTGCAAGTATTTAGTTTTTTGAAAAAAGCCATCTGTGTCCATTACTGAAAGCCGAAGTTATAATTATGTTTGGACTCGTGTTTTTACAAGTGCCCGCCCAATATTGAAGGAACACTGTCACTCTTTTTGCTGTGTGGTCAAAACCGAAACATGTTACTCTTTTGGGAAATGATTCATTTGCAGCAGCTCATTTATCTCAAAAAGGTCGACTTGCTTGGAGCTGGAAATGACTGATTCAGTTGTCATTTGTTTCAGTAAGTAGCAAGAAACAGTAGTAAAAACTCTGTAACCCTTACAGTGCAATTCTATGTTGAGTATGAATAACGTTCTAGATTGGTATACATTAGAGTCCATCAACGAATAATATTAATGTGACTTATCAAACGAACTACATGGCATAATATCCCAAAATGAAGCCATCTTTAAACTCATCATCACGAGGATTTAAAATTTCACGATGTAATGTTGGTATGTGTGCATCTTTAATGGCGGACTGTCATGGACAAGACAATTAACCTTCGTGTGCGTAAAATAGCTGTGAATTACTTGACCAAGTGAGCGACTGTCAGTTTTTGAAGCAGGACCTCCCTATATGAAATTTGTTTTGAAACCAGGAGTTTGCCCGGAAGTACTGAGAAATGCCACAAACTGTCACGTGACATGCAGGAATTCGAACCCGGGGTATTCAGAATATGAAGCAGCAGTTGTTATGACGACGCTGAGTGATGAATATTCTGCCACTGCTCAGATTCGCGTATTTTACTTAAATTCTTTCTATGAAAATGGTGTGCAAGCCACGGCATTGTTTACGTCGTTTGAGTAAACAGGCAAATGTTTTGAGTGAACACGTGACCAAAATAACCGAAGTTGTGTCGGAGTTCAACAGTGGAAGCGTCTCTCCCTTCCCCTTCAGCTGCCATAGTTTATTTGGTGCTTGGCTCGTTCAACTTGACAGGATCAGTGCGACACATAGCTCAAGACATACGCTGTGAGTGATTCAAGGAGCTGATTAATGTTTATACAGAAAATTTGTGTTTAAGATGTGGATAGTTTAGATGTATTTAACGATTTTTACCGACGTCAATCATTAACCTCAAAAGTAAACTTTTGATCGGAAACATAAAGGGATGGTGACGTATGAACAGTTATGGCGAAAATTCCGAAATTGTATCTTAACCTGTAAAAATACTGAAGGTCGTCTAAATGATACTTAAGAATTTAGCTCGTACCGCGAAGTAAACACGACACTTAACCATTACAAAAATCGACTGGTTAACGCTGGTTTAAGGAAATGATCGCTGTTTCTAGTGAATATCATACGAAACACATAAATACAACTTACAGAATTGTTGATTGTTAAAGCAGGCGACACATATAATTACCACACACGTGTGAACTGGATTTTAGTGGCTCAGTACAGGCTTTTATGAACACACTTAAAAATATTGATTTAGATTCCATGAAACAAGGACGTAACTTTGAATGAGGAAAATGTAGACTGTTGAAAATGACTCTGGATCTACCATAAAGTTATCTAATGAAACTGTAGTACATTTCGAATTCATTTTAATTCTATATCAGTTATGTTTCATATTTGTGTGTTAACTAATAATTACATATTATTTTTAAACGTAACTTTTCGTTAAATTTTCTTTTCAGATAATCACACAATTACGATATTAATACCATTTCGTAGCGCTGTTTATCAGAACGTTGCTGTGCTTACTACAACGTAAAGTCTAATGAGGCAAAGTTATTCATGAATATTGAATTACAAGGGCTAATGATTAGTACGGTTGGGCCTTCGAATCGATACTTCGACATCTTAAGTCTAATACGGTAACAACCAACATATAAACAGGGTTACATTTAGAACTTCAAATGTTATGTGCTACTTTGCAGTAACGAGTGAAATTCCATCTGCCACTCCTCGTATACTGTAAATTCAAATCGTATTTTTCATTAATTTTAATTTGTGATTCCTTAAATATTAGCCACATTGATAAGGTAACCGGGGTAAAATGACGTGTTCTATTAATATCTGCGTTCCTTCTTCTCGTACGGCCAACGGTTAAGTTCAACACGTGCTTCGTGAATTATTTTATTGGATCGATACGAACTAAAATTATTTTGTGTTCTATCTCCGTGTGGCCTGAAGTAGAAGTTTTCCAACGTTTCAGAGGTCCTTGCTGCATCCTCCAACTTCTACCACGACGCAACAACCCGGAAGACAGCCATCTTCTAAAATTATATTAACTTGATAATTATAGCAGAACTTTAAAACGCAGTTTTGTTCTATTCGTTCAGATTAAATATGGCAGACATTTTTATTCTTGTTTCAGTTTTTGCGATGTTCGTGTAATGCCGTTTCTTTGGTACAGATAGAAATAAAACCGAAGTACCAAATTGATTTATTTCCGGTGTTATTTTTATTCTTGTTTCAGTTTTTGCGAGGTTCGTGTAATACTGTTTCTTCAAATGTTCTGCTTTGGTACAGATAGAGATAAAACCGAAGTACCAAATCGATTTATTTCCGGTGCTAAAATGTACCATTTTTAGGTACGGGTATACGATATTCCATTAGACTCTTAAAATGGTTTACGTGTTGATAGATTTATTTTACGATTTCATAATTCCCTTCCGACGGAAATGTTCAAAGAACATGTAAGCAACAGCGATTATGTTCCTTGTGTAATTATTTTCGCTGTAAAACTATAGTTGACTGTAAATTAATGCCAGAATTATGAAATTTATATTTGTATTAGAAACACGTATTGTGTTTGTGACATGACATGTTCTATATCCCTGGCTTAGACCTGTGAAGGATCTATGGAATGTGAAGAAATTCTATGCTACATGTCAACAGGTCTGGACGTGGAGGTGACATTGGTTTATTCATTAGTGTCCAATTGAAGTGAGGGTAGTGTTCGTGTTTGTACACTAATGTCTGGTTGAAGAGTGGGTAGTGACGAAGTGTTTGTGTGTGGTAAAGAACACTAATTAGACTATGGCCAGGATTCAAGGAGTCATTTTCGTTCTGGCTGTCGTGAGCAGCTTCTGCTCCTGGTCTGGGATCGCCCCATCAAACACAGGTAAGCAAAGTCGTGCTTCTAACCTCACATAACACAGAGTTCATCAATAAGTTGTAGAATTGTGATTTGCGTAATTTAGCGTCTCTGAAGCTTAAGACAGGACGTCATAACATTCAGACGTGGGGCTGATCGGAAGCCACAGCTCTTAAAGTTAAGATACATTAGTGATTTGCTGGTTCTAAGTAAACCGAAATACACACACGGCTCGTATCGAAATGCTACATCGAAAAATGAAGAGAGATGCTTTTTCTTCGTAAGTCACAGTTTGTTTGTTTGTTTGTTTGTTTGTTTCGGTCTTGTGACATCGTTGTCGCTACTAGGCCGCAGAAAGTCAGTGACTTTGCCATAGGTTAGGTTATTTTTCTAGCCATCGACACTCAGCACATTCCACATTTCAAAGAATGCACTTGACAGAATTAATCTTTCATTTTACTAAACCCGTTAGAAGAATTCAGTGCATAAACTTTTGAAGAAAAAAAATCTGAGAAGAACGACGTGGGTAGAAAACGTAGTTCCTCGAGAGAACGTGGACTGGGCGGACGGCGACAGAAGTCGGTCTGTGCAGATTTCTGAACTCTGACCCCACACGTTTGACATTCTAAAAAAATACATGTTTTATAGGTTTTAAGAATTCGTACGTCTGATGTGATTACTAAACCTTGTCATTGAATATGCATAAGACATTCTCCTTTTCCTTTTCGGGGCACGTGAACATTTTTTGGATTATGATGTGAGTCTCTAAACGTTCAACGGAGACACTGCAATTTTTTTTTTATTTTACGTCGAGTATCAACTGACGTGTGCAGCTTTTGTGTGAAATGCTATTTGATACTCGAATTAATACGACTTTTTAAATTTTTCCAATATGGTATCGCCGTGACCTTTTGAATTTATAATAAATTTAAGCAGATGCAAATAGGGCGGAGTGTAAAAGAACGAGTTTTCAAAAATCTGTCTAACGCTATCTATCTTTGGTGTTTGTTTTATATTTGTGATTACTTCATACTCCGACGTTTGTGGTTGGAAAGTTTTGTCTGTTTTCAAAAATCTGTCTAACGCTATCTACCTTCGAATTTGTGTTTGTTTTATGTTTGTGATTACTTCATTCTCCGACGTTTGTGTTGGAAAGTTTTGTCTATTACTGTTAGCAAAGAAGATGGATTTTTTTTATGAAACAGCTTTAGCTGATATTTTCTCCAACAGAACTGTACCGAATTATTTCTCTTATTCTCAAAGGGCGAATGAATCAAAGAATCACGCGACTGCTTGGTTGCAGTCCCACTGAGGGGTTATTTGCTTAATAATGATGACGTCATCTCGTGGCTTAAGCACGCTAACGTCTCCTTCCGTATCCTTGCAAGTCATGAATTAAATTATTCTCTTTTGGTGCAGAAGCATTTTCGTGAGGTGAATTATAATCACCGCTTTAAAAGAGACAATGAATGAAACACGTAGGCTGATGCATTCTTTCTGGAACTCTCTTGGGTGGGGACGCGGCTCTCCGATGTAAGGCGGTCGCTCTAACAACGCCCTTCCGAATTGTTTAATCATTTTAACCTGTTTGGGTATTCGCCTACCACACGCAGTGACATTGCGGTTTGAAAATGTTGCCAAGGAAACGAGCCTCCGCTCTCCTTTTTGCGTGGACACATTCCTCAAGTACGGAAGTGTCGATTTGTGTAATTTGGGGGCAAAGTGACGTTCGTTTCCCGGAACATCTGAAACTTCTGTAACGATGAACGAGTCCGGGAAATTCGGGGCTGTAAGTAAGTTCTTGTAACACTGTAATTTCTTTTGTTTCACGTGCTGTTAGGCGCTCAACGACTCGAGAAATTCTCAGCTTCTTTTGGGACCCCAAGATTTGTTACGTGCCCCGAAAGAGTCCGCCACTGTTCTTTGTCAGTGAACCATCTCGTTCCTGTCAAATTTTTGTAAGATTATTTTTAATATTATAGGTGATGTTTCAGGTTCTCACGGCGACGAGTATCACGTATGTCTTTCAGGATGTTGATAGAAGTTTACTGACGTTTCACAGGTACTTGCGTTCTCCATCATCAGGGCGACGAGTAATTTCCGTCTTCATACATTCTTATCTAAGCCTGAATTTTTCCAAGTGGTCCGTTCTGTTGTGATTTTTGATCAACATTTTATATACATTTATTGTCTCCTTGCCTGGTAGGAAGATTTATAACTTAAGAGTAAATTCTGAGTTGAATCAGATGTAGAGGGTCCAGACTTTGGAGAAATGGGATCTTAGATCGCTAAGACCGCGCAGTGATACACGTTTTAGTCTCCGTGAACACATTTTTTTCGAATTTCCGCCCCGGTGTTTTGAGTTTTCCCTTAAGGGGGCGACAGGCATGACCAGCCGGGGATTTGTTTGGGACTTCGCCGACTCGACAGTTATCTAGATGTTCCATTTAGTCGTAAGTTTCTTTACCTCTAACTCACTTCAGACATGATAAGCTGCTATTCGCTAATAACAAGATCAATATCGACATTCGTAGAGTCACAGCAGAACAGCATAATTGTAAGCTCTTAAGCTTTTCTGCATTGAATACAATTGAAAATACCATCCGTATGCCACGCCCGACTTATCTCGTACAGTATATATAATCATATTAGGGTTGGACAAATTTCATTTGGCTGCCGTCATTGTCAAATGTGGGTATATGACACAGGGCGTGACCCCGGCCTGCGACATGGAAACCCTCCCCGTGGCTCTACGAAGCCAACTTTTTAACTTAAACTTAAGACGTGTTTAAATGCAGGCGAGTTAGACTCTGAAGCTACAAGACATTTTTGTTGTGATTGATTGTGTCTCACTTAACGTATTAAGTGTTTATTGGCTGCAGAGGTTATGAAAGTAAGAAAATAGTTTGCTGTGAACTAGACGGAATTACTTTTAAGACATCGCAGTCTATTTCAGCGAAATAATCTCACGATATTTCTCTCATATAAAGATGACACGCTCGCAGTCAGGATTATCTGTGCCCGAACGAGGTTCTTATACCGCGTTCCAGCGTTTTTGGCCTCTGAACTTTGTGAATTGGAACCTCAGAGCGAGTCACTTACCAGAAGATTTCTGGAAGGGATGGCGTGTACAGTACACTCCAAATAAAATATCACCAAGATATGTAACAAAGGAAGTCGATTTCACTAGAAAATTAAGACCGCAGAGAGTCTTAGAGAGTCTTATCTTCTTCACAATTCTTCGGTCCTCTCAGACCTTCGATTTCAGACACATCACTCGATTCATCACCACCCCTGCTGCTGTCCACTCCAATATCTTCGATTATGTATATTAGTGACAAAGCGTGACTAGGAGTGACCTTTGAAAGCGTGACGATTGGACACCTTAAGTGTTTAAATACGAAGAAGATTTTAAAAGTGTGTTTCAGCGTGACCAATCGTGACAAAACGTGACTATGTGTGACGTACTGTAACCTGTCACTTCGACGCCATAGCTGTTCCCCCACATAACGAGTGAACGCGACACTAACAGACAAAAGCCGAACGAGTCACATATAAACGTGTCCCAGAGCCATTTTTGTCCACCATGTATTCAGCTGGACTGCCCTGAATTCGGACCCACATCTACGTCCTTCAGATAAACTCACACAGCAGGGTTCCTCGTGATTTTTAATTAGGTCTTCGAGATGTTTCGCCTTCTTCACGGTCAGAACATCCAATAATTTTCTTACTGTTAGATGGATTCATTCAGTCGATTGTCGAATTTGATATCTTTCTCAGTTTCTATGATTTAATGTTCTGCAATTTTTCATTCTTGTAATAAGACTTGCAGATTGTCGGTACTTATCTGCGATCTTTCAATTTGTCTTTAACAAAAAAAAAATTCATTTTTTTAAAGTTACCAACTCGATCACAGAAAGCTAACCCACATCTAATACATAATTTTAATGAGGTCCACAATTTTCCTTCCTCGTAACAACAATAGAATTAACCAACTTTCTTTTATTTATCTACGAGACATTCACTTTAGCTGCTAAACTAGTTAGGGGGGGGGGCTTTGGGGCAGGTACCGCGGACGCTAGAAAATATCTTTAAATTTAAACAATATTTATTGATGTCGGTGAACACGCGAGTTAAATTTTTTTATAAACTATCTGTAATTTTGTTTCGTAGTTTCTGGACATTTATAATATTAAAGTGACACTATATTTGTACGATGTAAATTGAATTGTGAAAGTGATATTGAATAAAATGTATAATTTGTAGACATGCCTTTAAGAAAGGTAATTTAATAGAAATAAATCAAATTTAAGAATATTAATTCATACCAGTCGTGAAACTTAGGTCAGATATTTGTTTCTTTTTCGAACTTCAGAAGGCTCGGTACTTTGATCGTGCCCCCGTGCGTGCTTCGCCCTCTGTTTCGTTTTGCTAATTGGAATCTAGAAGTTTTCATTAACCTAAACGTTACATAGTGTCACAGCATATTTGAATAGGGGACACATTTGCAGAGTCAGCAAACGACGTTCGCTACGAATTCTTTTGTTGTGGCCGCGTCAGTTCATATTTTTCGCACCAGATGGCACATGCCTCGCGGTGAAATTGGACTGACAAATGTTTTATCCCTAAAATGGCCGGTGTCTTGTCAGTGTCGGTGTCGGATTTGTGCGCAGATGGTGATATAGACTAATGCAGACCGCATGCTGACCGAACAGCCTGCGACTTACGAATTTATCATAAGCGAATGACATAAATACAATGCCGGAATTTATAATGATCAAACACGAAACATCCCACGGACTACGACCGTAGGAGAAAAATGTCAGACACGCCTAAGCTCTGCTGATGTACGATATAATTGTTTTAATAGAATGGAATTAGCATTCTAAGCTGAATTCTGCCAGGCCATTCGTTCAAGTTTCTACATGCAAAACGGTGAAAGTTGTTACTTGAGATGTGGATCGATGTTGTGAATACAAAAGCGTCCTTCCTGTCTACGAATTCGGTTGATAATTAATGCTGTGTCTTCGCGTGTTAGGTCCTTATCTTTCGTTTCAACATTTGCGATCTCTGTGACTTATCATGGCGTTGAATAGGAAAATAATTGTGAATGATTCACTGTTCTGGAAATCCAAGACCGTGAGAGGCCGTTATGACAGAAGACATCTCAAAAGATTTTGAACTTATTTCGGCTCTGAGTCCACAGATTATTCTGTTTAAAAATGTTAAATCCATAACCAGTATCATCCCTATAAAGCTGCTCCATTAGACTTTTTCCGGAGATGCTAATTCTTTTGCAGGTTTTATTAATGTCAACACAAGTAGAGAAGGAAGAAATTACTTTCTTTTGGCGTATACGTAATTCCACATACATAATAGTCAGTTGGTAGCTTGCATTTTCCATTCAAGACTTTGATTTCTTGTGTTTTTTCTCTCCTTAAATCTCCGTATTTAACTGCCATGCTAGACAATGTCTGTTTGACCTCACGAACTGATTTTGATGACCTGAAACCTGTGAAATCATTGCATCAGCGGAACAACTAATTTCTCCGCCTTCGACCTTGTCAGAATTAAAAAGTTAAAAAGACCGGATTTTGATTAGAGTTGATACCAATTAGATTTTTTAAAAATAATTTATTAAAGCCTTACTTTATTAGTAATAATTATATCATGGCGTATGTTTTTTTATAATAAAATTAGCACGAACTGCGTAATTTCAAATTAATTTGTATCATAACTTAATTGAATTCTTGTGTCGTATATTTTATACATCAGTCAGCCTCAGGGCGCATATATTTCCTATTTATCAGCTATTAAATCGAAAAAGAATTGGATTATATTTACGATTTCTTACTGTAGACACGCACGCACGCACGCACATTTGTCTTGTTACAGTGGACAGTAATGTTCGTCTTTCACTCACACAAAGTTGCGTGTTACGCGTAACGTGTGTTTATTTTAATTAATTACAAGACCCGTCTTCCTGACCATCCAGAAGTATTTTGATTTTTTTTTTTTGCAAAAGTGTTCAGTTCATGTTGCGATGTTTTATTACAGAAGCCAGCTTACTGCAGACTATTGTATCGTGGATTAACCCAGAACAGCGATTATGGGACGATCTTCTGAGCAGAATAGTTCATTTCCAGCGATTAGGAAGGAAATCAATTTGCTATGGTAAGAGAAAGTTAATTTCTTCAACAAAACCCAGAGTTTTGCGTACAAGAGACAGGGCTCGAAGCTCTTCTAAATGGTATTTAAAAATTCAGTCCGTACCGCGAAGAAAACACAATAAATCACCATTACGAAGATCATTACATAAGACAGAATTCCTTTTTGTGAACACGCTAAAGATTGTTGGAGTCGGTGGCTGTGAGAGAATCATATTCAAGTTGCCGTGAAATATTATGAGGCCATCTAAAGACGAAAATATAAAGAAAGGCAAATGTCTGCATTAATAATAATCTCCGTATGATTTGCAGTGCACCAATTTTTCTCATAGTTCGTACCTGACTGCAGACGAAAGCAGTCAGTCGAGTCTGTAATAATAATTCTGACTGGAGCAGGATTAGATAACGCGGAAGATAAATTGCACGCTGTTGTTGAATGATGAACTTCGATTACCTAGACATTTCGTTGGCGGCATGAGAAACAGGGTTAACGACTTCTGTCCGGAACACGGAGTTCCGGGCAGAACAAATCAGTTACGGAAAACTGTACTGATGAAACCATATTTTTAATGCTCTGAATCCCGAAGTTAATCCAAATAGTATTTAAGAATCCAGACCGTACCGCGAAGAAAACACAACTCTTAACCATTACAAAGATCGAAAATCATATTATATAAGGATTCAGTCCGTACCGCGAAGAAAACACAACTCTTCACCATTACAAAAATCAAATGGTTAACGCTGTTTAAGGAAATTATCGCTGTTTGTCGCGAGAATCGTACAAAAACCATAAAAAACGCTGTGGGCAATGTAAGTAGTTATTAAAGGTTAAAGTACACGGTACAAAAAGTTATCTCTGGCCCTTAGGGCCCTTGGTTCCATTCCTCGAAGCTGACAGGTCGCTTATACACGCGTCTGTCTGAACCGCAGAGGCGCTGGGCTGTTTCCACGTCCGGGGTCTGCTGTCCCACGTGCGTCGGGTGCCAGATGACCCGCGAATTCTCCAGACGGAGCTGTGGATCTGCACTCGTCGAAGCCCGGAACCCGTTGACTCCGCAACGCAGCTCGTCACCTACGACAAGAGATCTCTAGAAGGCTCTGTGTTCGATCCTGGACTGCCCATCAAAGTGATAGTTCACGGCTACAGGGGTCGGTTCAAGTCGCCCTACATCATGGCCGCCAAGGATGCCATCTTGAAAGCGGTAAACGTTGTTTCAATATTCCGGTGTTTCCTAATGTGAAACCATCGCTAATTCCCTCTCTGCGCTGAGCTATTACCGTGTATTCATCGGCATAGGACCTGCTTTGTGCCCCCAGGAAGACGTCGCCGTGGTCCTGGTGAACTGGCAACTGGCGTCCAGCGGCTCGTACCTGAGGTCCGCGTCCAACGCTGAGCTCGTAGGGCGTCAGGCCGGCAGGACGCTGATATCCATGGCGTCCATGGGGACACGCCCCTCCGATATTCACGTGATTGGGTTCAGCCTCGGTGCGCAGGTTGCAGGCTTCATTGGAGAGACGTTTAAGAGCAATAACATGAAACTTGGCAGGATCACCGGTAAGACGTCTCTTGGTGAAACAGTTTTGAGGTCTGTGAGGTCCTCACTCTGTTAATGATTGAAGATGTCCACGGTAGAGTTCAGAAATTATCGTGCGTTGTTTCTCCTCGAGGACTGGACCCGGCGTCCTTCCTGTTCGAGTCATGGACGCTACCCGCGTATCGCCGTTTGGACCACACCGACGCGGATTACGTGGAGGTCATCCACACGGACGGCAGTCGCGTCTGGTCTGACGGCTTCGGACTCCTGGCTCCCGTCGGACACGTCGACTTCTTCCCGAACGGCGGCGTGGACCAGCCCGGTTGCCGAGACAGCTACATCGGCGCCCTGGCCTTCAGGATAAGTTAGTGCCCTTGACTCCACGCCTCCATACTCCGGTGCCGTTTTCGTGAAACCGGAATAAATTTCCATACGTAGAAATGCTCCGAATATCGTGTAAGAACCGGCCTGGTAGATGATTATTGTCTACCCTGCAGATCAGAACGCGAACTCGTCAGAGGTGTGCAGCCACGGCCGGGCCTGGAATATCTTCCTGGAGACTCTTACGTCAGAGCAGTGCCAGTTCCTGGGATTTCCTTGCCCAGGACTACGAGATTTCCGACAGGACTTTCTGCACGGGAACTGCTTCCGGTCATGTGACGACGGCGTCTCAACCTGTGGGGTCATGGGGCAGATGGGGACGGCTCGCGGTGCCCTCTACTTGGTGACCAGACCCACCGGGCCGTATTGTGGTGAGTGCAACAACGCATTGCTTTCCGAGGCCTCGAGAAATTGCGCGTGGAATGCCTGAGTATGTCCTCGAAACCTTTTGTCCGCAGGTCAGCAGCTGAAAGCCTCGGTGTGGATTTCGCCCCGGACTCTGCTAACGCGGGGCGTTCTTCAGATGAGAGTGTACCACAGGGCTACCACTACAGACTTCACCCTCACCCTCCCGTAAGTATGGGTTCAGAGGCGCGTCAACAAAAGCTGTTTCAGCCGGACAGTGACGACGTTCTCGTCTGCTGTAGGTCGCGGGTGGCGATTGAAGGCGGTCGCGAGGTGTCTGCTGTGGTGGCAGCACTGCCCGGAGCTGTGAGCGCCCGAAACACCCCCAGCGTGAGGGCGACAATCACATTTACCCCTTCAGGGGGGATGACGCGCATTGGGGGGCCACAGCATCTCTTCCTGGACCGCATCTCGCTTATGGATCACCACGGTAACAGGTAAGGCTCCCTTACCGTGGTCATTTGTATTTTCTACATTCGGTTTAGGATAATATTAAAATGAATCTTAAAAAATCCGGTGTTCTACTGTCGACTGGCTTCACCTGAACCTTCGGATATAACAAAATAGGGGAATTTTGAAACAGCTGAGCGGCTTCCGAACCACGGAGCAACAAAGTTGCTTATTTATTCAATAGATAAGTGCTCTCTTTCATGCATACTTAATATTTGCCAGCTCTGTTGAACGAGATCGCCTTTAAGTTGTCACATATAAATATAAAGTTGGAGAATTTATTTAACTTTGGTTACGTTTTGTTACAGTTGGCAACACTGCGGGAAAAACTTGCTGCTGGAGGACAAAATTGGAACATCGTCGGACAACATAACAGTTCAGTTGCATCAGACACCATGCTCATTGTAACGTAGACTCAGAAACGTCTTCGATAAAAAAAAAATATAATTTTGAACCACGGAATAAAGGAATCGAAAGTTTATTACTGAAATGTTTAATTCCAGTACGTTTTGCGTCAGTCTGTAAAGAAATAAACCCTTGTTGCACTAATTGTAATTTTTAGACTGGACGTATAAACGTAACTAATCTTTCAATAGAACAGTCTTGTTCTAATTCGTGGTTTTAGAGTCTTATCGATTATAACTCCTTAAACAATTAGTCGATATCGTGACGAATCCTTTACACACGTTCGTAAAATAAATACATCTGCCATGTGCTGACATCTGTGATATTAAATAGTAGGTACATCCCGCCATCTGTTGCTACCTAACGAAATTAGCAGAACTACGTGCCGTGACGAGTTGACATAATTCGATATTGATTCGAGATGTACTTTCAACAGTACAGGTTGTCATCTACCAAGAAGCAGGTGTTTAATTTTGTTCTGTTTTGATTTCTTGATTGAGTTCTTTCGGTTCTGTTCCACTTGAGAACTGAACACGATAGAATGTCGACAGACCGGTAAGGGTCGATGATCTGTTGTTTTTTATTCCATCCAAGTTTCGTTATTCTTATTTGTGACCTTTCTTTACCTCGAAAGTTAATTCTTGTTCGGACTGGTCATGGAAACGCTGCCATGTTACCTCCAAAATATGTAGTGACAATAATTGAATGTTGATTGAACCACTCCAGTGCTTGACCTATTTAACGATGTTTTAATCGTACAAGTGTTTACGTCAGTTGTTCAAGGAAGTTAACCAGCTGCTACGTGTGGTAAGGTAATGTACAAATTTATATTTTCATTAATTCAATAATCGGATTGTATGATTTATGCATTTTATATGTAACACTGAACGCAGATAACGAAAGTGTTTGATGTCAAATGTAACAATGTCCTTACTGTTCGTGGATCTTTATATGGTGACAGCGTATGAATAGACCACAATTTGTTGTTGGTTAACCTCTCAGACTATCACTGATGTCACATTTAATAGGAGTTACTTTATTCGACAGAGATTTTCATGCCTCACGCATGTTGAAAATAACCCAAGTGTTGTGGGTCTTGATCGTAGTGAAAATAGGTTATGTTCTCTCCCATTTTGGTGTCTATATATACAGTCCATCTGCTATGACAGGATTTTTTTTACGTCAACTGTAATAAACACAACTCGCATGAAGTGACTGTTTATGACCGCGGTCTCACAACTACGTTAATTGTTGACTTTTTGTCAATATAGACTATAGAAGTGCAAATTGAAGGACGGTTGTGCGTGCATGAATTGGAAAGAAATTGGACGTGACCTATTTTTAGTAATGCTCAACTCATTCACTCGCTAACTACGCCAATCTCACTTCTTTACTAATTAAACCCTCAAAGCCCAGTGGTAAATATATGTACCACTTCATCAGTCATTTTGTGTTTGAGTTTTTGTTATTCTCACTGTAAAACAGCGATTATTTCCTTAAACTGCGTTTAGTCAGCTGATATTTGTAATGGTGAAGTGTGGTGTTTACTTCGCGGTACGGACTGGATTCTTAAATACGTATTATTTAGACGAGCTTTGACTTCAAAGGGTTAACCAGTTAATCTTAGTAATGGTGAATTGTAGTGTTTTCTTCGCGGTACGGACTCTCTGTTTAAATATTATGTACTTAGTGTGTCTTATTATAAGCAGCGATTATTTCCTTAAACGGCGTTAACCAGTTGATCTTCGTAATGGTGAAGTGTAGTGTTTTCTTCGCGGTACGGACTGGATTCTTAAATACGTAATATTTAGACGAGCTTTGGCTTCAAAGGATTAATAGAGCTGATTAGAATATACCATGCGTCCCACTCGCTCGCTAAGTAGACCGATCTCACTTCTTCACTCATTAAATATCTCTCTCTGTCGCTCTTTGTTCGAACTTCCTCATTTTCTAATACGGTCCTCAACTCCATTACTCAATCGTTCAATCAATTAACAAGTTTCGTGAACAGTGCAGTCTGTTGAATGAATGTGCATTAGCTGTAGAATTAGAACACAGATGAAATCAAGTGGCGCTCAAGAAAGTGTCCCAGATAATTACAACAGTAAAGCAGGAGAACAGCGAAGAAGTGAATCCGTCCACCTGCAAAGACCGTGGCTTCGTCAGTCCCCCCTCAACCCGCGTGTTCTGGATCTGGTCGAATGAATCCAAACATCGAAATGTGGAGTCAGCACTTAACCTCTGGTGAAAGGCTGGACTTGCGTGTCTCCGTGTACAGTTACTGAAGTTTTCCATCTCACCGGTTTATAATATAAATCCTTACGCTGAGGTCAGTGCGCTGGATCTGCTGCCACGTGCATTTCTGAAACTGGAAATTACCCGAGTTACAAAACCGCGAGTCACGTAACACCTGAGAATGTGCGTACAGCAAATAAAATTAGCATGCCCCACGTATCGCTGCCGCACTCGAGATGTCCGAAAGCCCTTATCACATCCTCAGCGGTTTTATTCGTCTCTGATCGAGCATTTGGCTGCTGTTGCAAGTTACGTGTACTCGATTGGAGCGAGCCCTTCCACGTTCCCTTAAAATCATGAAGGGTTTATTTTATTTTGACATGTAGAAGAAATGAGGATGAGATGGGTTGGGCATGTAGATAAATTCGCACAAAATATGGGTTGTAATACAAAAGTGGAAACTGGTTTTCTGGGTGTGGACGGCTCAGAACAGGGATCGGTTGCGGGCTTTAGTGAACACTGTAATGAACGTTTGGGTACTAGGTCTGTGGCGTTGAAATTTTATGGAAATATTGGAAATAATCGTGGGTTAGACGCATTCTTATTAGTTTTAATCAGAGTTGAAAATAATTTGTTTGCTCTCAGCTGTGTAGTGTTTTGAAAGATTACGTGCGTCTGTGGTAAAAGCACATGCCGTATATTTTCTGTAGTGTTTGGTCCTGAAATATAATTTTGTTTGTTCGTTCCGATTAAGCCTCGGCGTTTTACTGCAAGTCCTCGTAGGACTAATGGCCCACGTACGTCAACAGCGAGCACTTATTGCGGTCAAGGAACCATGAGCAAAGTGTCACGACGAGTGTAGATCGAGTGGCCCCGGTCCTTTATATCTGACGACACGAATAAAAATTAATGTTTCGGAATAAAACATCCGCAGAAATTTAAAGAAGGCGCTTGTCATTTCTCCAGGAACACAGTGCAATGAGCAGTCGTAGTGATCTTTCTCAGGTAATGAGCGGGCCAGTGACCCGACCCGATGTTAAATTGATCGGTCCCTCCGCGGGCGACCGGAGCTTTTTTTTTAGGGTCGTAAAGGAAACTTTGTTACGAACACGGATCAAACATCAGCCCGTATGAAGTTGGCCGTCTTCTCGGTTGTTGCGCCGTGTAGTCTGGTAGAAGTTCACCGACGTTTCGGAGGTCATACTGCATCCGTCATCAGGGCGATGAGTATGAAGATTTCTGTCTTCTGGGTTGTTGCGCTGTGTCGTCTGGTAGAAGTTCACCGACGTTTCAGAGGTCCTTGCTGCCTCAGTCATCACTCATTGCCTTGATGATGGAGGCAGCAAGGACCTCTTGAAGTTATCTCATCTTCAGCATACCAACAGGCTCGGCAAAAAATTCCACGACAGCCCAGCAGTTAGGAAATTAAGCATTTAAAACTCAGTATGGATTGTATAAATTCTCGTGGGCCCAAGGCTGCTCACGGGCATACGGTTGGCGATCCCTTCATTCGATCTAAAAATAAATGCACATTTACGTATCACGTGACATGAATTGAAATGTACGCGTTTCAGTACTTTCGTAGTGTTAAAGTCCTTTTACGAGAATTTCCCCTTGACATTTCAAGCGTACAAACGAGGAAACATTAGATTGTCAGTGACAATTTCGTTGCTTTTACTCGGTCGCAGCTTCTGAATACAGCAAAATGACGCGACCCTCGGCTTGCGGAACACGGTCACTGCGATGGGCTGACACGATGATACGAAGACATTTATTAACCTAGAACAAGACGCACACGGCCTCATTCTCGACGTTAGGAATGACACGAACAGCGCCCCCTTCGGAGCAACTTCTGTCAAGCCGGATACGCAGAGGCCATTGGCAGATCTTCGGTAGTCGAGAGGACAGCGACGGAGCGAACTGGCGTTCCTTGGTGTTCTACTTTCCCCTTTAAGATACAGTCCGATCCGAAAGGCAGAGGCCACGGCGAGCCTTCCACGTAATTGCCTGCACTGATGGATTTCTGTCTTCGCCACAATGTCACTCTGCACCAGAGTCCGTCGTTGAGGGTATAACAGCCGGAACGTGAAGCTAATTACTCGCCTCTGTCTAGTGCCTCGAACACTTCCACTGTCCAATACATCTGTGTGATGTGCGTAGTTAAACGTTACTGAAAAAGTTGACGTAGTTTATGATTTGGTTGCAAAATCAAACGGGGAAAAAAGTTAAACGTTACTGAAAAAGTTGACGTGGTTTATGATTTGGTTGCAAAATCAAATGGGAAAAGACTTTTGTATCAACATGCAAACAGAATTTACGTTTTGGATGAAATACATTTTGTGACTGACTTTATGGTAGATAGCCCGTTCTTACCGTCATCTTTCCTGGTAGGCAGATGATCTTACCACCCACTTGGGGTTGATGCACGTATCTCACACCCAAAGCCAGCCAAACCCTGCGGTCTTGTCAACATCTGTTCCTGCCTCGACTGGAGTCAAACTTCTTGAATTGTTTAGTGTTGAGAGAAGTCTGGCTTGGGGATATCCTGACCCTCTTAACACGAAGTCACATGATTAAAGCAGGTTCCGGTCTGTCGACCTGTCTTGTTCACATAACGGTAAAGACAGGCCTCAAGCCAGGAAGGCAGCGGCGTTGCGGGCTCATCAGAGCATGACGTCAGCTAAGGGCTCGCGAAGACGACCGCTCGTTCTGTCGAGTCTCGTTGCCGCGTGGCCGGAGGTCCCGTCCTCTGGTCTTACACCACGCGGCTCTGTTTGGTTACTAGAGCCGGTAACAACAGGAATCTGTAAGACCTTCAGGTACCAGTCACGGAGCGAAGAAGTTGGTACGACGTCGTGACTCGTCCAACCCACTGACACAGGTCTCGGAAGTTGGCACGATCGCCGCACGGACGTGGCTTGCAGTTTTACTCAGTTGCACAGACCCGATCGTCTTCGTTATTAGGTTAGGTGTACCAATCCTAGAGGTCACACGGGATGTCGGAACAACTCGTAGAGCAATGAGGGTTGGAGTCAGTTACCGGAAAGAGTTTCGATGTAGAATATTTCTGGCACAGCAAACGCAACGATACTTCTTGATTTCCCTGTGCGTTCTACATACCCTGCCCATGGTTCGTCGTAATTATATTTGCAGTAGAACTGGAAATTAAGCCAAGGGCATCGGAGAATGTGAGTTGCTGCAGTGGAAATGATGTCTCACCCCTCTCTGTTACTTTCATGAGTAAATGAAAGCGTCTTGAGCGTACGTGGTGCAGGGAAAAGACAGGAGAAGGTCCTGCAGGCACAACGCCGTTCAGTTATCATCGCTGAGCTATCTGTCGCGTGTGAGTTGCTGCAGTGGAAATGATGTCCCATCCCTCTCTATTACTTTCATGCGTAAATGAAAGCATCTTGAGCGTACGTGGTGCAGGGAAAAGACAGGAGAAGGTCCTGCAGCCACAACGCCGTTCAGTTATCATCGCTGTGCTATCTGTCGCATTAATTGTGGTCCTCTCTCCTCATTCACTCTCGTTTCTCGTGAGCCACTTTGTCGACAATACGTAAGGCCTCTTACCTTGCAGTATTGGAGCCCGTCGGGAGGGGAGAGAGAGAGAGAGGTCACAGCAAATCTTGCCCTCTGCCTCGAAGAGACAGACGAAGTGGCCAGCCAGCGAGGTGCATGCCCTACATATTTGCGATTTATAAATGCAGTGTCTGTGTGAACAAGCTTGGAAAGTGTATTCCGTGCCTCAGTACACATAATATCGTTCATTTGGAGGTCCTAAATCCTACCTATTCGATAATTTCCACCTCACAAATTTCCTCATCCGTCCTGTGGTTCTCGAGTAGACTCGACTGGACGGACGCTACCAACCCATAATGCGTTCTAGCATAATTAATTTCACAGATAGCCTTGTATTCTGGTAAATATTTACCAAAGTTTCAGAGGTACTTGATTGTGCCATCATCAGGGCGAAGAGTCATCGTCGTGAAAATTTCAAGAGGTTGCATTAATCTAGTCAATGAACGTTGTTACGCGTCAGTGTATTGAATGATCTTAGTAGCGACGAGAGACGTACATTTGCTTGAAACTCACTGATTTTGATGATGCTAATGACGATAAATATTATGCTTATGACGTCGGAAGCGTTGTCCAATGCTCTGCTGTGTAACTAGAAACAAATGACTTTCGGAACCGAAATACATCACCTCGTTGTCACTACAGTGACACGCTTTTCCATATTTATGCAATGTTCTCGTTTTTAGTGAATGCAGAGATAATTTTGTAATGCCAAAATAACCAATTGCGTATTTTCATAATTATGACATTTATGGTGTTTGTCACTCTACTGGGAGTAGGATCAAATCTGGAAACTCAAATGTGCTTGAAAATCTCTTCTGTCTTCCATTGGGTTTACGTTCTTGAACTATTCGAACCGCCTAATTCTGGCACTGTCTTTATATTTTAATATTATTTATTATGCGTGCAATAAGTTTATTACCGAGCAATTTTTACCCAGTCGGGGAACGCGTGGCTACTCTGATTTCTTGTCTTTTGATCAGATCTAAAATCGTGATCCACTCGAGTTGACAGAAGTCATGATACATAGTCAGTTTTTCTCTGTATTTCCCCGAAAAATGTTTTCCTGTTTACTGTACAACACATTAAAATATAGACAATTACAATTCACTGTCTCCTGAGTCATTTTTAATTGCTATAATTATATTTAATCTTACCCTCTGCAGTTTGCTAGTGAATTCCCTTGTCTGAAAATAATTTGATGTCTGCTTAATATTTCACTTAATTAATCAGCTTGGAAATACAACATAGAATGTTATATACTTCAATCCTCGTCCTTTCGTTACAAATCCATGCGTATTACAGATCCACTCCCACGTCAAATATTTCTAGATTACAACATAGTTTGCGATAAACTTTTCCTTGCAGATTATGGTGTCCCGCAAAGCAGTGCAATGTGGCGGTGTTGGTTACCAGCAGGAGAAAGTCTTCATTCTACCAACGGAACAACGGCGAATCATACCACTTGGAGGGCGAGACCACTTACCGCTGCGCTAATGCTTAAGTAGGTTTCGTGGCTTCTGCTCAGTTACTTCCATCCGGCGGGCGACGTGCAATGGAGCGAACGGACAAGACCGCATTGTCTTGCAGACACTCTTAGTACGTCACGGTTTCTACCGGAATACAAAGAGAGCTGAAAAACAGCAGAGAATCGACGAGCGCGTCGTCCAGTTTGAAGCGAGGAAAATCGTAAGAGGGCGAAGTGTTCGATTCTGGACTAGCAGTGGCAAGTCAATTCTCGAGAAACTCACGTGAGAGACGGCAGTGAATTCCGTGTGTTATTAAAGCCTACGAAAATGTAGACGGACGTCCTGACAATCGAATGAAGACGAGTTAGTAATTATGCAACAAATATTCAAAGTGTTTGTGTTAATTGGAAGGCGACAGTGGCGCCGCGGGTCGCTGAGTGGGTCAAAAGGGCGGGTGACTCTGCTGTGACCTGACACCTGCTTCAGCTGACCTTCGACGAGCAGATCAGAGGTCGAAAGGTTAACTCGGCAACGATGATCACGTGTGTACGGATCGCAGTTTTTGTGGCTTCGTTTCATTTCGCGTTGGGTAAGTTAATCGCAATTCTTTTTTTTTTCTGTAAAAAGTTGTAATTTTGAATGTTTTGACTCTTCTGGTATGCTGGACGGAACCTACCAGACCACGCGATGTTGTATCCCAGAAGGCAGCCATGTTTAATTCAGTCGCTTCTCACGTTACCGTTGCGAAATTCGCAACTCGAATCAGTTCAAAATCTAGTCTTTTATTTAAAACTTTAATATGAATATTCATATTAAATTCTTGTGCAAACTTAAATAGACTTTGTTGTGTGGACTGAAATTTTGATTCATCCAGTACATATTAATTTATGTTTATTTAAACCTTTCCAAGTTTAATATTAAAAAAAATTATTCTCGTCTCGAAAAAAAGAGACCATTACATCTATCAATTGGTTAATACATTTCTAAGAAAAATATTTGTGTTTATCCTGAATATTATACGAAATCGAAAAGCAGAATTACTGAAAGGTAATTATACTTACCTCTGTGCTTTAAAGGGGTTAAATCCGTGTTGTGTAAAGCATCCAACATGCCCCGACCATTGTATGTGTTATCGTTAATGTAATCCTGAAGGAATCATGTCTTCCGTTACGTGACGATGCTGTACCAACTGACTGTGATACAGACCGTGGAATGAATAGAAAATTGACCACGACAGGGACAGATCGCAGTGTTGTTCGGCATTTGTCAAAGGAGACTCTCTAACCACTTTTCCGAACGCGTGGCAAATATTTGAGGTTATCACGGCGGTGAAGGCGTCGAAATCGGCCTTCTGGGTTGTCACGCCGTGTGGACTTTCAAAGTTTCGCAAGAACCCAGCCTTCAGCCCCGAAGGCCACTCAGCGTTAAACATCGCCATCTTGACCATCGCTTAAATCATGATTTAAGAAACTTGCTGAGTAATACAGGGGCATATCTCAATTTTGGTTGTTTTTCATAAGTTGCCTTGGTGTTTCAATGAGTCTTCCTCGTGTATAACCTTGTGGCCCGCGAGTCGATTAGAAAGGGTCTAGTAATGGCTGAGATCCCCTGTTTTTAGAACTTTTTGGTTAGCTGTGAGGCGTTAAGCTACGTTATTATTTCAAAGCCGGTCACTGGAGAGAGAGAGAGAGATTCGGAGGCGAACACACGAGATTCCCAGTCGAGAAGTAAACAGTTGCCAGGCTGTTCACAAGAGGGCCATGCCCTGAAGAGACACTTCAGACTACGAAACACACAGCACGTAACAAATAAACAAACAAGTTAAAACAGACTTTATTTGGGGGGGGGGGGGCAAGGCCGGGGTCTAGGCAACACGGAGTTTTCCTCCGTGGCATCCCAACAATTACTCCATTCACACACAGAAGAAGGCAATGGCAAACCACTTCTGGATCATCTGCCAAGAACGTATATGAACAGGTCCCAGTCCGAGAAAAGGATGGAAGGATCCTGTTCATATGGACCTGTCGTCAGACAGAACACTAAATAAATACATATAAACAGAAACCATCTGACGATTAGGTAACCTCGAAAGAATCCTTCGACTTCCAACAGGAAGAAAAAGTAATTACAGTCATTTACCGGAAGCGGTTACTCACGGTTATGAAAGTTTAGCAACAGAAATGCTACTTAAGTTGAGAATCGGTTCAAGAGTCTTAGTGAAATCGTCACTTGAACAAAGTGATTTAGCAAAGCGCCATGTCACGCTTCGAGCAGACAGGCGTCTCCATAGTCCGAGACCGCTGAGGTTGCTCACAGCAGCTACGCCGTCCTCATGATCGACCTCATTAATATATTCGGGGCGAATCTGTGCGTTTAGCCTACGTAACTATCTGTCTGGTGGAAAGGAAAAAACGCCGGATATAATATGTAATCCAAAAACATGTCGGCACACGAAATGAACGGCGAGATAAAAAGATGCTGGCGATGGAAAATAATGTTTGTAGTATGGGTAGTACAGGCTGATTTATCTCCTAGCCCCTGTGGTCACCCTGTCATTTAATTCTATCGGATATCGAGCGCACAGATTCGTCCCGACTAAAGAACATTTATTTTCGCCTCTCAGAATTGAAACTTAGGAATCTGGAAAATTTCTCACTCACTAATACGTATTTATTTTATGAAAGTTTATTAAGTGTTGATGTGCCCACATGCTTAAGCGTAATTTATTTAAGTAACTTTCCGGATGATTACAGTAGAAATCGTCACAAGCCAGCCAGCTGAACGGAAGCTGCGACCAACTTCTCGCCGATGGCGGAATGTGTTAAAGAACCACTTTCTTAATGGAAATCATGAACTCCGAGCGTTCAGTTGGAAAGTAACTCTCTGGACTCGACTCGCTGATTAATGACATCACGAAATTGCTTACTTGAAGGCCTGTGGTTTGTAAGAAAAGTTGCCTATATCGCAGGAATTGGCAAAATTATTTTTAAATGGATTTCAGGTTTTCACGGCGGAGGGTCTGAAGATGGCTGTCTTCTGGGTTGAAGAGCCGTGTAGTCTGGTACAAGTTTACCAAAGTTTCAGAGGTCCTTGCTGCCTCCATCATCAGGGCGATTAGCCATCAACCCAGAAGGCAATCATATTTGAGGCATAATTTTGGATCAGTTTTGTGTGAAAATGAAAGACGTCTGATAAAAATCTGATATCACAGGTTTAGAAATTGTGAGACCCAAAACAGAGGAGAAACGCGTGACGTCTGTCTTCACGCACTGAAACTTAAATTACGCTGCAGATTTAAATCTGCATTCCACGCGTTCAGACCCCTGTGAAGCTAGCGCCTCTGGAAGGAAACTCAGAATATCAGATATTGTTAATATTTTAAACGTCATATGAGTAGTTGGCGTGTGACGGTAGGTAGGCCACTGGATACTACAGGAGTTGAAACTCGAAAAGGGTTGACTTCTTGTAATAAGGACTGGTGAAAGTTTCTCATTCAAAGCAGACGAGACAAGTGTAAACAGGAATATATAGGCTAACGACCACGTGTAATTATAACCGAACTAAATAATGTTGCACGACTATTTAGCACAGCCTTTAAGAATCTAGGGCATTTGTAACGTGACGAGTAAACGGAGGGGTATATTATTTGTCAGACATATCTTGAAAACACATGTTTACACTTCGAAACACCATAACATCGTAAATACACACGAGCAGATCAGCTGTTTAGTAGGTCCAGTAGAAATTTCGCCTTGTGGGATTAGCTAATGAAACTATTTGCAAACATTTAGTCTGCCTTAGTGTGTCTAACGCACACGAACAAACGAACACCAAAATAAATGCTGCATAAGCAAAGACTGAACTTTCAGCAACGCAGCGGAAGGAATGAAGAATTGTCTAAGTGGGTCTACCGTCAATTCGGGACGACGTGGCCCCCAAACGAGAAGATGTTCAATGACCACTGACCCAGTGGTTCAGAAAACAGGCCTCGTGTTTCGCAGTTACCGAATTCAATCACAGAACTCACTACTAGCGTTGAAACTGAAAAAAGTAATATAAATACTTCAATTACATTGGCATCGCGGTCTAAGGATGCACGGATGGATGTAAATATTTACACCGTCCTGATGATGGAAGCAGCGAGGACCTCTGAAACGTTGGTAAACTTCCACCAACCTACACGGCTCTAGAACCCAGAAAACCCAGTCTGTCCAGTCCTTCATTGAGAGAACCAAGCCCTTCGTTATAGACCACTTTTGCACTGAGTGTGAATTCGAGTCTTCTGTGTGCCTGCCATGTGTAGCAGTGTCCTGAGGAAAATCACCAGAAGAGATGACCACATTTCTGGCATCGAATACTTGTTATTTTGTGTGTTCATGCAGAACACGTGGGTGCTGGAGGGACTCCATGGGCCACCCCCGATCAGGAGGCATTGGATGAGCTACAAGACGCCGACATACTGAAGGCTGTGGTAACCTCGATGCAAGAGTGGCAGAAGAGACACACTTCCCACAGGTAAGTTCCTGTTTACATTCCGAAATTTTACACATCCTGAGAGTCAACTTAGTTACTGGCTAACTACTGTCTGTCTGAGCAGAGAATTGACTCGACCTTGAAGCCGTGACGTCATGTTGTACGCTGTCCCCAAAATACTACGGGCTTCTATTTCTGGCAGTGAGAGGTATTTTTCTGTTCGCCGTGTCCTCCAGACCCAGAATCGGGGGCTCTTGTCTCCACGGGCAAAGACTTCGGAGGTTGGAAAAGTGTGGAACTTTTCCTTTCTGGTTTCAACAGAATTTTCTAGATCATCTGACGGTGCGTGGGTTGTTTCCAGGAGGAAGCGAGGGGACTCGTCTGTCTGCTACCCGGAGGTCGGTTGCTTCCAGGACTCGGGCCCGTTCGGGTACCTGGACATGTTGCCGTCCCCACCCGAGGAGGTGTCCACCAGGTTCTTCCTGTACTCCGGCCGAGCACGAGCCAACTCTCCCGCCATGGACGTCCCCTTCAGCAACCTGACCGCCGTCTGGCCTTGGGCCAGTAAGGCCTTCAACCTTTCCGCGCCCACCAAGGTCATAGTTCACGGCTTCGGAGGCTCCTGCAATAACGTGTGGGTCTATGAGATGAGGTCAGCTCTGATGACGGTGGTAAGTGTTTGATTCAATCTGATGTAGTTAACGCGGCGTGGTCGTAAAACTTCACATCCTCATTCAAAAGGCTTGTTTAAAGCCACTGAACGTAGGTATCTCCATGTCTGTCTAAGGGAAATTCCTCTTTTCACTTCGTTACTTCGTCGATAAAGATAAAACAATCGAGCACAGAAAGTCAGGAGCCGACCACGCGATTGGCTGAGTCAGTAGAATGAGTGTCTGCGGGCTGGAGAGCCGGGTTCAATTCCCGGCAGAGTAAGGAATTTCTCACATCCACCCCAACGCCCGAAACTCTTCTAGGGTCCGGTCTCCTGTCCGATGTCTGCCGAGGTTAGGCTGGAGGCCAGAGCGTGAAGCCGACCTGTCCGGATCTCCTTTGTGCCCAAATACGTCATCGCGTGTCACATTTTATTTCTGCTCAATGCCTATGGATGACAAAGTGATAACTTTTTCGAGGCACCGTGTGTGATGTGTTATAACGCCTCTGAGCTTGAGGAATTGCTAAACGTAGGAACTATCTTCTGTCAGTTGTCTGAAAGTACCGCTGAGAGTGGCCACGGATCCTTCACGCCTGCTTTAATGAGACCTTTGAACGTTAATTGCCATCCATTAGTATTCAAGTGCAAGGCTTCAACCCTGCCGCGTTGTCGCGTACAGCGCCAGCTTGTGGGCGGTTTGAGCATTGCCAAAGCGTCGTCAGGAATGGGCGGCCGATTTAACCTAGACTGAAACGCTACGTACACCTTCAGTGTCGAGTTAAGGTGGACACTGACACTAGGGGTATCCAAGGAAACAGTCGCTCATGAGCTGACGTTTCGGTCAACTGCCCAAAAGTATCCCCGCTTCAGAGGAACATAAAAAGTCAGACAGGATCAGGGCAGAGGTTAGAAAATCGTGGTCCCTAACCTTATTGCAACTGGAATGAAACGGAATTGTCGAGATACACTCGGAAAAAAATAAAATTCAGTGCCAACTTCTCCATCCTGATCTCTGATACCTATAGCACAGCGAGCCCTAGGAAGTTTTTGTGCTGAACGGGAGAACAGTTTGGGAACCCCTGCCTTGCAGAATTAACCAGCGTCGCTTGCATCAGAATCTGTTCTTCACAGCCGAATATACGAACGCAGTTTGTGGGACAGGCTGTAGTTCTATCAAGAGTGTACTTGTAATTCCACGAGCGATCTGCCAATTGGTACGTACCGTTGCTACGTGCTGTGGTCTCTTCCTGCCGCATTGTTTCGCTAAATTTGCATTCACCGACGCCGTCCTCTCGAACGAGGAATGTCATGTCTGCCACTCTACAGCTGTGCGCCCGCCATTTTGTTGAACTGTGAAGTCTCAGTTGCTTTTTGGGTTATAGGCCCCAGCAATGTTTTCACTGTACAATTCGCGTGGTGTGAAAGTCAGAAAAGGAACTCAAAAATACTTTCCTTCCAATTAGGTTTTCATTTAACATAATCCACTTTTAATTTATTCGCATGCGTGCATAATTAGTCTTTTATTTCATGAACACAAAATGGCGCCTTCCAGTTTTTGAACTTCGTCTCTGCCTCTTGAATAATTTTAACCTTTCAGGTTTCCTTGTTTAAATTATGCACGAATTTTGATCGGACCTTCAACACCGGATTTAATTAATCGAAATGAGTTCAGAAATCCTAGGGATAATTCTCGAGGATATGAAACATGTAAATTGATTCTGAATGCGCTATTTTCCTCCTATAATCTTACGTACAGGACGACGCTAAGAAGATTTTAACACTAACTGATGTGCTCTTATCAAAATGGCAGCTTTGACAAAGAGCTACACGAAACACAGTGGGATGCTAACTCTCGTCACTTACGGCTTGTTGCCTTTTTCTATCTCTGAAACTCTTTTCGTCCGACTTTCCAGTCACGGTTGAAAAACTGTCATCCGGCTACAAGCGAAGTTTCGTTTCTTTAGGCAAAGACATTTATCGTTTTAATATTATACCCTCACAAGTATGGCTGTAGTTGTCACGGAGGTGAACCTGCTTCTAGATTTAATTTCTGTAACTTGAACGTGAATATTTTAAATGACAGCATCTCGTGGCATCTTCGTGCCGGATATTTACATCTGTGAAAAACTCGAAGGCCTTGAAGTGTTCCGAAGGAAGGTTTATCGCCCCCTGAACCCACTTACGCCGCTCCTAGGCCAAGCTGTTAATTAGATTAGAAGTGAGCTGCGAGTGTAATCTCACACCAGAGCTTTCTCAACTTTCTGCACGAAAGTGTCACAGCCTCAGGAAAGGACTTCATCTGACGACGCCATTCAGATATTTTTTATGTTCATTCACTTTGACGCCTGAAATTTTGTGCTGCGAGGAAGCAAATGGATGCTGAAATGCGCGTTCGTCTGTCCAATTCGTGGCTACCAGTGAGTTCTGTTTCGTAATGACAGTGAGAGTGCAGATGATACGGACAGAAGTAGCTCATTCTGCGACCCGGAGACCACACGTTGTCTCCTCGGGGCGGATTGACACCTCGTCTCACCCCGTCTTGGCGACTGTCCAGTGACCCACATACTGTTCGTACAGGGCGTTCACTGATAAAGTTGAACGTAACTGTAACTTTCCGGCACCCGGCAAAAACTTCGGTAACAAAGGCAAGAGAGTTTCATCGACTCTCGTCGGGCCGGCGGTTCCAAAACTAGGAGACGCGAGCCAAATTGGTGTTTGGAGAGTGGAATCCGGCGAGTTTAGAAATGGAGAGAAGGCGTTATTGAATTACGGTGTTCCGGATTTCGGAGTTGTCAGCTGTATATGAAGTTGAAGCTCGAAACGTAAGAAATGAGCGCGGACGTCTGACACTACCGTCACAATTTATCTCGTTCTGGTTTACGGATTCGTCCAAATGGCATTCTCTAGTCCGCAAATGGGACTGCTTCGGTGGGGGATATCCATGTTTCCAGCTGTATTCGAACCCACGATCTTCGTCGCGTGTTGCAGGAGGAATGCAACGTCATTTGCGTCGACTGGGAAGCGGGCGCCCTGATTCCCAACTACGTCCGGGCGGCAGCCAACACGCGCCTCGTCGGCAAACAGCTGTCCATGCTCCTCCGGGGTCTGAACGCGCACCTCGGCCTGCCCTTCCACAATGTCCACGTGATCGGGTTCAGCCTCGGCGCTCACGTGGCGGGGTTCGCGGGGGCAGAGCTCAGAAATCTCAGTCGGATAACAGGTAAATAATGGAACCCCCATCTTCAAAATGGAAGTAAATCCATTTTAATCCAAAAACTTCGTACACTCGATCACAATCGAATCGAATGACTTACAGGTTGTGTGTAAATTATCTTCACAAATTCACTCGGGAATAAATCCGTGATGAAGAGACATGTAGACACACTGTTTCATCGTCATCGCTGACAGAAAGTCTCGGAAGTTTCACCGAGTTCCCCGGTAGATGGTAGCACCCGTTGTTTCGCACTGAATTGCACGAGTAACATTGTGAAGATAGATTATACATCTTTGGTTATGTTTTACATCTCGCGGAAACTATCCGATGGGAGTTTCATCTTTTTGCAGGATCGGCTATCACATAATCTCGTACTTTTACTCTATTCGTCTCTCGTAGGAGCCTGCTACCTCCACTTTCATGGTGACTCTATGGAGGTGCGCGTTTAACTTCTTCTGTTTTGTGTGGCTGACGTCGGTCGGTCTGTTTGCTATAGGATTGGATCCTGCTGCTCCTTTGTTTGAGAGTCAGGACCCTCGGGCTCGTTTGGATTCGACCGATGCCATGTTTGTTGACGTCATCCACTCGAATGGCGAAAATCTCATCCTCGGAGGCTTGGGTTCGTGGCAGCCAATGGGAGATGTGGATTTTTATCCAAATGGAGGCCGGATGCAGAAAGGTTGCACGAACCTTTTCCTTGGTGCTGTAACCGATATTCTTTGGTGTAAGTATCATTACTCGACCACGCAGTTATTCCGCTTAAATTGGCGTTGTTGGTCCAGGATTAATCGACATCTCTGCCGAGATTCAAACCGGATACCTCCAGAATATTCTTAAGGCCTTTTGCTGGATGCAACCCTCACGTCGTCTGGTGAACGAAGACTTAATCGCTTACCCATTCATGTTTCAGCCGCGTCTGACGTCGAAGGCCGAAGCCTCTGTAACCACAGACGAGCTTACAAATTCTTCACAGACTCCGTGTCCCCCCGCTGTCATTTCCCCTCCTTCCCCTGCGAATCTTACGACAAGTTTCTCGAGGGAAATTGTTTTCCTTGCAACGGCGACCGACGATGTGGTAACATGGGTTACTACGCCGACCGTTCGAATGGCAGAGGGACGCTGTACCTCATCACAAGGGACGAGGAACCATTTTGTGGTACGACTCGAATTTAATAGCTCTGAATTAAAGCAGAGAGTTCAATTGTAATGGCGGCCAAAAGGAACTCGTGACGGATTTTTGGCTTAATCCATCGTTCTTTTGTTACTCTTAATTGCCGTTCTTTTAGATCGTCCATTATGGCCGTCTCGACGCCTTTCTCTCTGCAAGCGTTAAATTTGACTCTGATTGCAGCTCACCAATACCACGTGAGGGTCGAGAGCTCACCCAGTCCTGTCCCTGTCACCAGCTACGGCAAGATCCAGTTAACGCTCATTGGAAATTTGGACATCAACGAAACTTTCACCCTCACTCAGTAAGTGAAATGCGCATCTCCTCAGTTGGCAGCCCCCGCTCAATCTTCAAAATGGATAGCGAGAGGGTGCGATTTGTTTGCAGGAAGGATGACGACGAGCTGAAGGTTGGGAGTCCTCTCGCGCGCATCGCCGTGCCTCACCCGGTCCTCCAGGAGCCTAAGAGCGTGCAGATCACATACACTGCGTACAGCGGCTGGATATCGAGTGGCCTCGCTTCCTGGAGCGTCGACAAAGTCACCCTGACAGACAGTTTTGGCAAGAGGTTTGAGAATCCACCGCTTACTTTGACCAAAGAATTTGATTCCTTACGTGGCGAATAAAGGAGTAGTCGAGGCGTCTCCCGATTATAATTTCGACTTTGTGATGCACTGAAGTTCATTCTTGCTCTTAGGCACATTCCGAACCCTTTGGAGCTCCAATTAAGATTGATTTGTCGGAAAACATGACGTTTCTAAAATTTATTAATACATTTCCTGTTTCGATCAAAATCAGTCAACAATAAAAGTTCTGCGCAAAGGAATAATTATCTGTTCAGCCAAACGAGGAATCCTCTGTTAAGACGCCGTCGCGCACCGTCCACTCGGCCAACAGTAAAATTCCCAGAAAACAAATGATTTCTATAATAAGGATACGTTTTCTCGCTTGTTTTATTTATTTATTATAATTTACTATAAATGTAACAGCTATTCCGGTCTGCTATGACCGGAAGACACTTTTTCCCCTCAACTACGTAAACCGGAGACTCCACTTCTAATAACAGACTTAGTTCTGAATTACGCGTTTAGAGAACAGAAACGTGTTTGTTATTCCAGCATGTC